ACAACCTGACATTTTTAAGCGACCCTATTACACGACACAGCCCACAGGATATCCTTAGACCAGAGGACCAAGTGGAGGTCTTACTGGGTTCTGAGACAGTCTAGGAAAGGAACACCAACACTACCCTGCTGCCCAAATAAGAGTTTTCATGTAAACCTTAGAACAAAACAAATTTATTCAGAAGGAGGCCAAATGGCTGTGGTCAATTTAATACACTAGCAATAATATCAGAATGAAGTACAATTGTCTTTGCTGTTTCATAAGGGCTTTATCAATGTCATCCGTGAAATAAGACCTTATTATAATTAGTTATTCTTCCTCATAGGGCCACTCCACCCCCTCCCATCCCTGATCCCATTTAACCCTTCCTGATCCGTTATTCCCCTTTCTCCCTTCATCTCCAATGTGTTCTTTCCCCCTTCCCTTAAAGCACCTCCTATGGCCTTTTAATAGTTACCTGACTTCTGTGGGGTACCCCAATTTAGCATACAACTCTAAAGTTTCAAATCTAGCGCCCATGTATGAGAGGGAATATATAATATTTGTCTTTCTGGGTCTGTGTTACCTTACTCTGAGGGATGGTGTCCAGCTCCATCCACCTACCTGTACATTTCATTTTTCTTTACAGATAAATAATAGTCCACTGCGTATTCTGCATGTTTTATAAGCCATCCATCAACTGATTGGCATCAAGGTTGTTGTCATTCCCAGGCTTCTGTGCATACAGCTGCGATTACATGGATGACCAAGCATCTCTGTGGTAGGAGGAAGAGCCTCTGGATATATGCCCAGGAGTGGTATGGCTAGGTTGTGTAGTAGATCTATCCCCAGCTTTCTGAGGAAGCTCCGCACTGATTTCCATAGTGACTGTACCAGTTTGCACTCCCACAGCGATGAATAAGGGTTCTCCTTCCCCACATCCACACCTTGTCGTTTGGTTTTTGGATCTTAGCTGCTCTGACTGGGATAATGTCAAACTTTTGAAAATGCCATATGGGAACTTACTACTGCAGAACCTTCTTAAAATATATGCATATACTTGGGGTATTGGTTAGCTAATTGTTACTTGACACAAGCTAGAGTTGCCTGAAAAGAGGGAATCTCAGCTGAGAAGACGCCCCACCGGATTAGCTTATAGACAAGCCTTCGGAGACATTTTCTCGAGTGATAATTGATGTAAGACTGGGGCTGTGGCACCTCTAGGCAGGTGGTCCTGGAGTGTGTCGGAAAGCAAGATATATATAGATAGCACAAAGTATGAGAGAGCATACGGAAAGCTGGGAGGGAAAAGTGCAGGTTGTTAGGGTTCAAACCTGGGACACACAGCTGAAGGGACTGCTTAACATATCAAAGCAAACCTCATCCAGCACCCTTCAGCCCCACCTGTTACAGGGTCCTCCTGGCATGGATACCCCACCTCCTACTCTAAATGTCTCCAGCCCAGATACTGTGCTACTTTCTCCCAGTTGCCCTTCCCTATATAATCCAACCAGTTTGGTTACCTAGTTTTTTGTTTTGTTTTGTTTCCTCATCTCTCTTTGGGGCCTCCTGGCTGCTGCACCTACCTGGTTTCCCCCTCTCCTCACATGGCTCAGGGTCCTGTCCACTCTGAACCCTCCCAGATGTCCCTGTCTCTTGTTGCTATGCTCTCTCTCTCTCCCTCTCCCTCTCCCTCTCCCTCTCCCTCTCCTTCTTCCCCTCCCTCCCTCCCTCCCCCCCTCTCTGTCTCATGTCCACATGTCCCTGTCTCTTGTTGCTATTTTCTCTCTCTCTCTCTCTCTCTCTCTCCCTCTCCCTCTCCCTCTCCCTCTTCCCCTCCCTCCCTCCCTCCCCCCCTCTCTGTCTCATGTCCACATGTCCCTGTCTCTTGTTGCTATTTTCTCTCTCTCTCTCTCTCTCTCTCTCCCTCTCCCTCTCTCTTTGTCTCATGTCCACATGTCTCTGTCTCTTGTTGCTTCTCTCTCTCTCTCTCTCTCTCTCTCTTTCTCTGTCTCATGTCCACATGTCCCTGTCTCTTGTTGCTATGCCTCTCTCTCTCTCTCTCTCTCTCTCTCTCTCTCTCTCTCTCTCTCTCCACACATACATGTATGTATAATGAACTTTCTCCTGCACCATACCTAGTAGCAGTCATGTTCTTTCCATTTTATTTCTTTTTTTTTTTTCAGTCTGGGTTTGGTGTGAGAAATATTGGAGGTGAAGGGATGGAAGTAGAGTTGATATTCATGTGTGAAACTCACAATACAATACTAAGGCATGGCAGAGGAGTGGGTATGGGGAAGAATAACTATAATAAGCTCTTGCTTCATGGGAAGCATTGATAAAATATAAAATTGATAAGATAATTTTATATTCACATTATATATTTTTATTGATTTTTATTGAGATCTACATTTTTTCTCTGCTTCCCTTCCTGTCTCTCCCCTCCCATTCAATCATCTCCCAAGGTCCCCATGCTCCCAAGAAAAAGATCTTGTCTTTTTCTACTTCCCATGTACATTAGATGTATGTCTCTCTCAGGGTCCTCATTGTTGTTTAGTAATGTGGGAGTCCCCTCTGTATGCTGTGTTTACCATTAATGAATAAAGAAACTACTTTGAACCTATAGCAGAGCAGAACTTAGGTAGACAGGGAAAACTAAACTGAATGCTGGGAGAAAGAAGGGCGGAGTTAGAGAGAAGCCACGTAGCCCTGCTGGAGACAGACACCACCGGAACATTAGCTGTGGCCATATACATTAATAGAAATGGGTTAAATTAATATATGAGTTAGACAAGAAGAAGCTAGAACTAATAGGCCAAGCATTTATTTAATTAATACAGTTTCTGGGCAGCCAGGAACAAACAAGCAGCCTCCTCCAACAAATTGGCACCCATGTGGCCAACTAAAATCTGCTTAAAACTTGAGAGGGCTTGCAAAGGAATTTTAGATACTAAAAAACAAAGTTTAGCCACATTTTTCTTTTCTTTTCTTTTTTTTGGAATGGGCTTTGCTTGCTGGCAGCACGCTGCAGCTCCTTTAGGAGAGGTTTTCCTGATTCAACAGTATTCAATAGATAATCTTCAAACCTTTCAAAGACTACAGAATATGGCGTTTAAAATGTTTTAAGGAGTTAGGATTTTTCATGACATGAGACACATCTGTTCCTGGCAGCACAAATCTACTTCAAGAGGATGATGGGCACCAAAGAGGCTCCTTATGGAGTTGCTAGGCATTGGGCAAGAAACTGCTCTTGCCTGGACTGCTTTATGGTATGATCTATGAACTGGACATGCCGGACCCACAGAGAAATGACCACTGAACTTGCCTAAAGGTGAGACTGTCCTTTGGGGCTCCTGCTTCATGAAAGAGTCTGCTAGACATTCTGCAGGACACAGAAAAAAAATGACTGACAAACTGCTAATAGAAGTGGAATTGTCTTTGAAATTTTGTGCTTCACGGAAAAGTCTATTGGATACCATGGGCCTGTAGGCTGAAGATGGATGCCCCAATCATACAGAAGAACTTGGGTAACTGTCCAGGCAGCGGAATGTCTCTGTCATTTCTAGAGTTTTGGAAGTTGCTTACAATGTGCTTCCTCTTTACTTAGGTAATATTATATTCTTCTGGAGTCTTTGATGGAGGTGAAGAATAGTTATAATAATATTTTGTTATGATAAAAGATAAAGTAGATTATCTTATAGCTGTAATTCTTGCTTGATAAATGTTTTATGTAATTTTATTTTGTTAAAGTTAAAACCTTCTTTTTTATTTAAACAGAAAAGGGGAGGTGATGTGGGAGTCCCTTCTGTATGCAGTGATTACTATTAATGAATAAAGAAACTGCTTTGGATCTATAGCAGGGCACAACTTAGGTAGATAAGGAAAAAACTAAACTGCATGTTGGGAGAAAGAAGGGAAGAATCAGAGAGAAACCCTGTAGCCCCACTTGAGATAAAGGCCAGAACTTTAGCAAGTAAGCCACAGCCATGTGGCAATATACAGATTAATAGAATGGGTTGAATTAATACATAATAATTAGCCAATAAGAAGCCATAGCTAATAGGCCAAGCAGTTCATTAATTAATACAGTTTCTGTGTGATTATTTCGGTTTCTGGGCAGCCAGGAAACAAAGAAATGGCTTCCTCCAACAGTCTAGGTTCTTTAGGATTGTGATTTGTAGGCTGGTTTTCTTTGCTTTATGTTTAAAAATCACTTATGAGTGAGTACCACCATGTTGGGCCTTCAATTTTTCTCCTCATTACATCATGTCAGTTATGATTAGATTGTCTTCCAATCGCTTGATTTAAAATCTTGGAACTTAATAGATACTAAACATTTTGTCACTTACATTTTTTTATTGCTAAACAGACTTTTGGCAAAGCTTTTGTTGAAAGCCTGAATAGGATCTTTACTCTATTTTTTTTTTTTTTAAATCTTTTCTTCGGGGAGTGGAGGGAAGTTGAGACAGGGTTTCTCTGTGTAACAGCTCTGGTTGTCCTCAAACTCACTCTGTAATACCAGGCTGGCCTCACGCTCAGGAGATTCACCTACCTCTGCCTCCTGAGTGCTGGGATTAAAGGCATTAGCCACCACTACCTGGCTGGGATGTGTAGTCTTTTTAAGATCTTTATGCTAACGCACTATGCTAGAGTACTTGCCTAGTATGTATATCAACGTTAAGCCTTAACACTGCTAAAAAAAAAGTGACTATTAAAAGCTATGTTTTATGGTAATAGAAGATGGGCATTGTTAGAATAAGATGCATGCCTTGAAACCTAGTTCACACACAAAAAAAAGTTTCTCTATTGTGAACGCCTACCCCCATACGAACTACAATTCCCATGAAGCATCGCGGTTATCTTTGCTAGCTTATTCTCATTTCCGTCCGCGCTACCAGAGGGTGCTGGACTTTGTAGTTCACACGGACTAATATTTTCTCATGGTCTTGATAAGGCGGGACGGTGTGTTTAGCAGCATTGCTTTGCCTCTGGTACTGATATACAGTATTATCATTAATAGTATCGCATACTAAAGAATCCATTTACTCAGGTTTTCACCAATTTCTCGCACTGCCTTCACCCGGGAAGGGGAAGTGACGTACTTCCGGTGTGATGGCGGCACGGTGGCGCTTTAGGTAATTACCGAACTCTGGAGACTCGGGATAGACAAGGAGCCAAAGTGGGGGCTGCGGGTTATCAGGTCGCGTGTAGAGGACAGGGGCATGCGAGTGGGTGCTGGCGGGGTGGGCCTCCTTTTCCGGGCGTGGCTGCGCTGTCTCCACCCGCGGCCCGCGCGGTGCGGCGTGAGCGGGCTGGGCCTGGCGCCGGTGGCGGGGAGTGCGCGGTTGGGCTGTGGTCCAGGTTCTCGGGGCGGACACCTGACCTCGCAGTCCTGGTATCTGGAGTCCCCTGCTCATCCCCGTGCGTTGCTCCAGGCACTCGTCTCTTGCGGCCCTCGAAACCGCGGGACTTTCTCTGTCGGCTCCCAAGGACTTAGGGTTGGCAACAATAAACTGTAGTAACGCTCTTGCCTCATTATAGCTTAATAGCCCTCTGGCCAACTCTATTACGTTTTCATTTATGCTTCTTTCTCATTGACTTCACTGGAACTTTGTCGTGTGCCTTAGCCCTAGTGCTCCATGTTTCGCGTGGTGCGTGTTAATCCTAATTCTAAATGCCTGTGCTATTCTTAAGCCCCAAAGTATAGATCCTCAGCCACTGCCCCTGGCAAGCTGCAGGCCCCATGGTACACTTTAACAAACAGCAGTGTGCCAGCTATTTTCACGTACTGTAATTGCGAGACGGTTTTGTCCATTACGGCCGCTAACGTTTATTTGACGTACGTGGAGAATGATTTTTGGAAAGCGCGAATTGAGTTATATAAAGCACAGTGAGCCGCCGGAGAGATAGCCCAGAGGTTCGGAGCACTTCCTTGCTCTTGCAGAAGACCCTGGTTTGGTTCCAAACACCCACATGGTGGATCACAACCATTTGCAAAACCAGTTTCAGAGGACCCGATAGCCTCTTGCTGAGTGAGCTCTGCTGGGACCAACACCCTTACATGTAAAAATGAGCTACATCTTCTGTGAATTGTGCACTGTATTGCATAGACTGCATTTTTTTTTTTTATTTTTTACCATCGTCAGCATCCCTATCTTGCTCATGACTGGCCTAGTTACTCAGTCAGGGTATAGACTAGTTCCAAAAGGAAGTGGCTATTAGTAATACAGTTGGTCGGAACTAGTGTCTTTGAGGGCTGTTCTGTCCGATTTCCCTTGTTTTCTGAGATTGCTAACGGGAGGGCAATGGAACAAAAAGGCCTCTAATACAGATTTCAGCAAAACCTCCCCCCCCCGTTTATTAAAACTTTTTCATACATCTCCCAGCTGAACATGGGATTAGGCGTTTGAATGCTTACCATAGCACAGACTTTGAAAGGATTTTCCTAAGAGTGAGCACAAGGCCAAAGGAGTGGGTTCAAAGGAACCTTTGCCTTTTGTGACACATCAGTAAATCTTAGTGAGCTAAAACAGAAAAGCAAGTATGGGGTGTCCTTTTCTAGGAATGCTCTGGTGATTGGAGAATTAATCAGCTAGGATGAGAGACCCAGAGTGAACTGATGTTTAATCTGTCTTTGACCCTAACTCATTAGTGGCTTAAGCTGGACAAAGCTCTGCCATCCCATGAGTTCTGTATCAGTTTATTAGAGTAGATCCTTCTAGACCATAGCTGCTGTGGCAGGTGGTAGCACTGTGTTTCTAGAGGCTATGCTGTAAGTTTCTCTACGGAGAAGATTTCCTTTAAGCCGGACTATGCTGGAAAAAAATAAACAACTTCCAGTGATCAGAAAGGTCATTTCAGTGAATTCTGTAAGAGCTGGCAGAATATATTCAGTCCTGCATTTAATCAGCAAAGCTGTGGCCCAGTTGTGATTTGGGGGAGGGGAGGACACAAAATAGTATCAAGGTAAGATGAAGGCCTTATACCACACTCCTGTGCTTGTACCATCAGCACCCAGTGTCCTCTTGTAAAGCCTCCTTGAAGGGCACAGCGCCCAGGAGTGCTGCCTTGGTGCAGATGACGACAGCTTGGTGGTGCCGAGAGTGAGGGGTTTGATACGTTGTCAGAATAGCTTGAGGCCTTTGTAGAGCGAAGATAATTTTACAAAACCACCCTTCCCCTTTCAAACTTAATTTTAGAATTGGAATCTGTTAAAGTGTCTAGTACTGTCTGTGATTGGGAATTTCACAGATCTGCTGGCTGGATCCATAAAAAGCCTTTCATGGTTTAGCTTCATGGGTCTCTATGGCCCGTCTCAGTTTATCAGTTTATGTCCAGTTCCTGTGTGTTCTGTTTACTCGAGTGACGCGAAGTCACCGAGCCTGTATCCATGGAATCCCCTATCAGAATAACTTTTTTCTTTTGCTGTGTAGCTAGTTCCTACTTGTGTTGCGTATCTTCAGGGATTGAACACACCCAGGTAACAGTGACAGAAGCGTTGTGCTCGCGGAGAGTCTAGTGGCCGTGCAGGCTCTCCGTTGGAGTATTTGCTCATGTTTTGAAGGTGTAATTACTGGATAGGTTGTGGTTCACAGTTGGAAGTGCATCTTACACATGCTACTCCCTGTTGGCTAGTGGGCTGGAACAGGTACAGGTTGCTGAGGAAGGAAAGGAAGTACTCAGATGTGAATCCTACAAACTTCAATGCCAACCTGCCAGGTAGGATGTGGCCACTTGTGTAATAGTGACACTACCGGTATGGGTGTAACCAACCACTTTCGATTGTTTGAAGCCCACTGCAAAGGAGGAAACTCATGCATGGATGTGTAAGCCCAGTCAAGTAGCTGGCTGGAGAAGTCACGGGCCTTATTGGGGAACTTACTGTTTAGTTAAGCAGGTAATGTCATAATGCCTTCTAAATAGTTAATACTCATAGACAAATGCTCCTGTCTCATTAGGGTTTCAGTTGCTGTAATGAAATACCATGACCAAAAGCAACTCGATAAGGAAGGTTTATTTCACTTCACATATCCTGATCACAGTCCACCGAGGGAAGCCAAGACAGGAGTTCAAACAGGGCAGCAAGCTGGACACAGGAGCTCATGGAGGGGCCTTAGAGGAGTGCTACCTCCTGGCTTGCTACTCATGGCTTTCTCAGCTGTTTGTTTTAACAAAATCTCAACTGTTCGATTTTCCCAATAAAGATCGGGAACCAGATGCTGAGGTGAAAGCCTGCTGGCTCAGTAAGAGGCAGAGAGAGCACCCAGTTGGCCGTCGTCCTCCACCAACACCCAGAAGCCTCTCCCTTCTTTTATGCCGTCTCAGAAAACTCAAACCCAATGACTCTGCCTTCTCCTTCCTGCGCATCTATCTCTCTCTGTCCTGCTGACTCCCTGCTATTTTCTTAATAATCCTATGTTCACTACCTGTTAACTGCTTGCTTGTTCTGCCTCTTGATGTGTGATTGGTTTTATTTAATCCTGTTTGCAGTAAACAGAAAGCTCTTGGATTAAAGGTGTTGTTAGGGCCGAGCCAGAGCACAAGTAGAACCGGGTTTTCCGGTAAATAGTGCAGTCTCAGTGTTCACAGCGTGATCAAATGTCCTGTAACACTCAGCCTGCTTTCTTGTAAAACCGAGGATCACCAGCCCAGGGATGACCCCATCCACAGTGGGCTCGGCTCTCCCCTATCAATCACTAAGAAAATGTTTTACATTGCTTGCCTATACCCTAATCTTGGGAGTCATTTTCTCATTTGAAGTTCCCTCCTCTCAGATGACACTTGAGTGTGTTAAGTTGACACAAAAACTAGCCAGGACACCTACTTTTTGTTTTAATGAAAATACTCTGTATAATGAATAGGAGACAAAATCAGATCCTCATGGCTTCCAAAGGTGCTGAGAGTAAGTGATTCTTGCATACTGAGCCCTAAGGAAAGCATTTATACCTTCCCCTCTAAGACTTAGGAGCCTAGACATCACAGAAGGGAGGTGAGAGACCATGAAATGCCGTTTCGTGTGAAGGGTGCTGGAATGAGTTACCTTTCTGTGCGCTCATGTTGGAAAGAGTGTTAGAGCAGATAAGCTCTATTTCCAGCACTCACATCTTTTTCCAGTTTTATTTACTTATTTTAATACTGACTACAGTTGCTTTTACTCCTTGCATCTTTCAATTCTTTCATTTTTCTTTATTTCATTTTATTTTTGTGATTTCATTCTCATCACAAACTGAGTATGTAATTACAATAAAATTTTGATTGGCAGGTCTGTATGAACATAACTACCAATTCTGTGTTTTAAGAAATTACTAAAATATTTTCAGCAGGAAAATAATAGAAGACATTAGCAGCTGGGTAGCTCATCAGTAAAAAAAGAAAAAACAAAACAAAAAAACAAACACTTGCCTTGCAAGCAGAAGGCCCTGGTTGACTTTCCTAGAACTCCCTGTAGAAAAGCCAGGCACCATTCCCGCCTGTAATCCAACACACAGGAGGCAGAGACAGGCAGCTCTCTTCGGATTCACAGGCAAGCCAGCCTTACCGCCTTGGCAGTTCCTAGGCAGTGAGAGATCCTTTTTCAACAGGGTGGATGACGCCTGAGGAAAGACACCTGAGGTTGTCTTGTGGCCTCCACAGGCACGTGTGTACACATGCACGTATACACACAGAAGACATTTAGAGCAGATATCGTTCTTTTAGAATCAAATACTTGGTCTTTAAATGTGCATGTCATATTTGGAGCCCTATGCCTTTAGTAAAGCAGGTTAGGACCAATCTCAGTTTACCAAGTTATTTCCATGCGGAGTGCACTTCAAATGATGGTTCTGCACAAACATTGGCTCTTTCATTTGTAATTGATAAGGAAACACTGGGCATTGTTTCCTTGGTTTATTGTTTTATATATACAACACTTGATTATATAAGCGTAAGTTTTCCTTGCTGAAGCATTTCAATCATAGTGTTACAAGACCTCTGGTTTTAAACTGAGTTTGGTCCCTACCAGAATAAGACCTTTGTGGTGACATTTTGTTTGTGACTTTTGTGTTATTTTGTTTGTGCTATAATACATAAAGCCAGGCAGTGGTAGTGCACGCCTTTAAACCCAGTACTCAGGAGGCAGAGGCAGGTGGATTTCTGTGAATTCAACGCCACTTTGGGCTGCATAAGGAGAAACAGAGCCAAGTGGTGATAGCTCACACCTTTAATCCCAGCACTAGGGAGATGGAGACAGGAGTGATATGGCTGGGCAGAGAGAGGAATATAAAGCAGGAGGAGACAGGAGCTCATGACTTTCAGTCTGAGGATTTGTAGGGACAGGATTGCCCCTTTGGACTGAAGATTCAGTAGAGGTAAGAACTATGGCTGGCTGTTGGGGACCAGCCCAGACATAAAACATTTCTCGTTCCAGAGTGGAGGTGTGGGAACAAATGAGGCACATTTCACAGGCTAGCATCGGGAGGGAGTTTTCAGGGATCATCCAAATCCTGAATTCACATTCTGAAAGTCACCCGTGTTTATTTTCCAAACAGCTTTTATATCAGGGTTAACTGAGGGGGCAGGTAACACGCTCTTAGGTCACATCTGTACTTGTTGTCATGCCTATGCCTAGTTTGTCACGTAGACTGAAAACACCTCTTCCCCACGTGACCTCCTAATTTACAATAGAAGGAGCAGAATGACATTAGCATATCTGGACCATTTTTTAGGTTGGCATCAGGTTGTTATACTATCAAAAAGCTAGGTGGCCACCTTCTGTGTGGCAGGTGCAAATTGCGCCTTGTAGGTTGCTCAAAATTCTCTGACTACCAGACAGTGTAGGAATATGGACCTGCATAATTCGGCCCCTACAACTGGCTGCTCTTTCTTTGATTTTTTCAACCTTAATCCCCTAATATCTGACTCCGGAATTTTATTAATAAGACCAATTAGAATTTGTGCTCTCTTGGTTTTGGACTCGTTTACTAATACATGTTAGATTCACATCCTTTTGTGCTGCTATTTAAAGATTAAATTTTATAAACTTACCATGTCTGCTTTTTACTAATTAAGGACAATGAAGTGGTCGGGGCCTGACGTGTAGAAAGAACATGCCGTTGTACCGTTGACAGTGAAGTGGTCGAGGCCTGACGTGTAGAAAGAACATGCCGTTGTACTGTTGACAGTGAAGTGGTCGGGGCCTGACGTCGACCTGACGTGTAGAGAGAACATGCCGTTGTACTGTTGACAATGAAGTGGTCGGGGCCTGACGTGTAGAAAGAACATGCTGTTGCACTGTTGACCATCGTTAACAAGCTCTTGTTACTGTTTTTTAGGTGATGCGTGGAGACAGCAAAAGGAAACTGTCAAGGAAATCAGACCATTGAGTGTGTGTGTCTTGAACCAACTGGAGGAGTCGAGTTTATTTGGTCAGCTGACACTTGCAAATAAAAGTAGTATGGCCCACGTGAAAGTAAGTGTTTGAACCTAAGCTAAAGAGGTCAGCTGTGGTCAGCCAGCCCTGCCCTTTAAATAACAGTGCTTTTGTCGAGTTAGACAGTCGTGTGGTAGAATGGTACTGTGCACACTCTGACGCAGTTTTAGCGTGGAACGGGTATTGAGCAGAGGGGCAGTTGAGAAAACATGCTGGCTGTCGTGTGTGTGTGTGTGTGTGTGTGTGTGTGTGTGTGTGTGTGTATGTACAGATATATGTAATTGCATACATCCAATTCTCCATGAATCACTTGACTGTGTACACGTGTAAAAAGGGATAACAATGCAAACAGTGCTGACTAACATTGTTCTCAAGGAGCGTGCTTCCCTGAGTGATGCGCAAGGTAAGTAACTCCTTCCTTCGCTCAGTCTCGATTCCTTCATGACTGTCCAGTTTGTTCATGTGTGGACGTGGGCTTCTGTGTTCTTTACTGGAGACATTTGTTTATTCATCAAATGAAGCGTGAACTGAATGTTACAGTGACTCCTCCACGTGCTTTTAACAGAGTAGTGTTACATACACTTCTTATCTTTGGGTTTCCTTCTGGGTGTGAGGAAGCAGTAAGCAGATCATCAATTGTGATGTAACAAATGAGCGATGCATCGTGTTAGACAGTTGCTGTAAGGTTGGAGCTGTGGAGAGGAGAAGCAGGGCAGGGTAAGGAGGTAGGTGTGCTGCAGCTTTTAGTAGGGAGGCAGGTAGGACGTGCTGTGAAGCAGGGCAGTCATGTGAGGGGTCTTCCTGGAAGCAAGAGAGTTAACCGTGTGCATATCCAGGGGAAGAAAGTGCCAGAAAGTGGGGACAGGAAGTGAATGGCCAGAGTCCGGTGTGATTGGAGCAGGTGTCGAGGAGAGAGTTGCAGAACGCGAGGTCAGAGCAGTGACAGGAACAGTAAGTCACGAGCTTTCGAAGTCTGCCTGTGAGTGGTCTTGGAAAGACAGCAAATCACTGGACATCTTTCCCATGTGTGCTTGAACAACCAGTGTACTCTTTGCTGGGCTATGGAGTCAAAGGGAGGATATATTTTTATTTATTACAAATACATGCACAGTCCCTCCCCTACTCCATTGTGTACCCTAAACTTTCCTAAGAGAAAAGTGGCTTGACTCATGTGCTTGTCAAAGCGGCCCCTGCCGTCCTTTGCACCTCAGGGTGTAAGACCCTCCGGCCTCCTTACGCGTTTCCATTGCCAGGGCCGGACTAAGCTGACCCTGTCAGTAGATTCTTTCCTGTGGCTGTCTGCGGTTTGCTGCTTTGGGATCTGTGTTCATTGCTGCAGCACTCGTCTACAGGTAACTTCTGAAGCCTCAGTAGGTAGTTGACTGAATGTTAAAAGCTGGCGTCAGCAGGAGAATGGGGACTCGTGAGAACTGTCTTTGAGCCTTCTGCAAGCACTCTTCTTTAGACTGGTACTCAGATGGGGAGAGAAACATGGAGCCATTCTCAAATGTTTCCTGCTTTCTTCAATGGTCCCTCTTCTGTGACACCACACCAGGCAAGCAGTAGATAGCATGTCCCTTAGACTCAATGGCCAGTTGTATTCTGTCTACCTCCATCCCATATTTGAATTAGCCGTTAGCAATTCACTTGTGTGGCGGGAGCCATACTCCCCATCCTCCCTGCAGACATCAGTGGGCCTGCTACAGAGCCATGGGACTTGGGCCCTTGCTCCACCCACTTCTGCGTTCTGCTCCCTACGGTCCTTACACTGGATGACTGAACAGTGCCACCTGATTTTGTTTTGTTAACAAATTTGGAGATGGTTTTTCAAGACAGAGTCTCTCTGTATAGCTTTGGAATCTGTCCTGGAACTCACTCTGTAGACCAGGCTGGCCTCAAACTCACAGAGATCTGCCTGCCTCTGCCTCCCGAGTGTTGGGACTAAAGGCGCACGTTATCACCATTACCTGGTCAAATTTGGAATTTTTGAAAGAAAGTTTGACTGTATTCCTTTCTTAACTATTGTATTAATTTAAAACTATGACAAGGGATTTTTTAATTTGGGTTATACCTACAGGTTTTTTTTTTTTTAATTTTGTGACCTATCACCATTAAAACTCCATGCAAATCATGGTCACTCAGAGCTGTGGGCCACAGTGGTTGTTCCCTACTGAAGATCTCACGCTAGCTTTCCTGTAATGTGCCAGTCATTTGTTACTTGGTTGTATTTACATAATCCTCCTGATTCACCGCTTCTGTGTTTTTGACTTCTCCCTCTTGTTCACAACAGCTGTTGCGGAGATGTGTTAAAAATCATTAGCACGGAATTGAGTCTATCTTCCTAATGTAATCAAAATAATTGCCTCACTTGTAAAAGAAAATGGGGATAAGATAGTTTTATTGTTATCTGTCTCCTCCTATGTCTCCTTTATCTGTCTGTGTTTTTTCTCCAATATATGGTTTAATATACAAATCAGTAAACACTCTCTAGAAATAACTCCTGAGTGTGAACATCTTCTGTTCCTTGAGTCTTTCCTGTGTTTGTGTCCTTCTAAATGACTACACAGGAAATGTTAAGGGCTCATGGGAAATATTGTGTGGCTCATAATAAGTAATTATTATTACTAATTACTGTTGAATTTGGTGGATCTTGTAGCATGTATTTGGGTTGGGATGTTGGGGTATAGGGAGTTGCTGGGTGCAGGTCCTCAGTCAAGCTGAGCAGATGCTCCGCAGTGGGCTATAGCTTCAGTTCTGGGCTCAGCGTTTTGGTATAAAGTTTTATAAAACTGATATCGTATATACTGAACTGTCTGCTTCACTGCTTCTTCTTCTTTTTTTTTTTTTTTTTTTAAGATTTATTGGTTGTGTTTGTGAGAGGCAGGGTCTTCTCTTGTTAATTCTGCCACTATGCTGCAGTCTGGCCTCTTAAATCTCTGCCTCCCACACACACCATAGGAGTTCCGGAAGTACAGACGTGTGCCACCTGCCACAGTCAGTGGTTTATTTATTTATGGATTTATTTTTTAATGTGGGTTTTAAGAATTGATCTCAGGCTGTCAGGCATACATGCTTATTATTTTTATGCCCTGCCCATCTTCTTCCTATGCTATATAAGCCTGACAGCCTGGGTTTGATCCCTGGAACTCTTGAAAGAAGAGGATCAGTTTCTAGATTTTCTTTTGACCTCCACATGTCTGTCATGGAACATGTGTGTCTACAGTCTCTCTCTCACACATCATAGACATATATCCACATGATAGTATTTAAGTGAGATAAAATGTTTAAGTAATTTCTGAAGTACTGCTAGTTTGCTGAGACAGATAATGTATATATGTTTAACATAGCTGGTTTTGAAGCATTCTTTCTTCTTTCTTTTCTCTTGGGAAGCATTCCTCTGGTCATGACAGAAGGGAGAGCCACAATTCATACCACCGGAACTCCTCCCCAGAAGACAGGTAACTGCGCTGTGTGTGCCAAGTGGGAATTTCATGTGTTCATCAAATAATTTAGTTTTGGCTTTCTTTTCTCTTCTTTTTCTTTCTTTTTAGGTTTTTCAAGACAGGGTTTCTCTGTAGCTTTGGAGCCTGTCCTGGAACTAGCTCTTGTACCAGGCTGGCCTCGAACTCACAGAGATCCACCTGCCTCTGAGTGCTGGGATGAAAGGCGTGCGCCACCACCCAGCTTAATTCTTAATTTTAAGGTGGACACTGAAGTGCTGCTTTTGTTGTTATGGCTTTTTATAGTTAAAATTTTATATGCATCATAGCAGAATTGTAAAATAGAGCAATCTAGAAATAGTACCAGTAATGTGTATCATGCATTTTTATTAGCCCCACCACTGTGTCACTGGGAACTATTAAAATAGTTCCTAAAGGAGAAGCCCCCGGTGCCTTGTGCTTTTTCCTCCCACTCCACTCTGCAGAGTGTCCCCCAGGGCCTCTGCTTCAGGGTCTTGGTTTGTGACCACTTACTCCCCTCACCAGTCACCTTCGCTCTGTCAGCATCGGACACACATAAGTCTAGGGTAATTGTAGATATGTCTATGAAACACCAATGATATTACCATCTAGGTTATTATTTAACTTCCCCTGATGTTCTCTGACGTTATTGAGTTTTGAACTAATCAGTAGCTGTAACGTGATTCATCTTGTCTGTCTGTTCAGTGTTCCCAGCACTGTGGTTTCCAGGATAACATCCAGTGATTATAATGCTTGGAGTGGATTGACTAAAACAGTGTGGGCACAAGGAAGGATTTGTAAAATAGCCTCCCCTTGCTGCCCATCATGTGTCATTTCCAGATATATCCTGTCACCACGGGCAGTGTGAAGGAAGGATTTGTAAAATAGCCTCCCCTTGCTGCCCATCATGTGTCATTTCCAGATACATCCCGTCACCACGGGCAGTGTGAAGAAGGATGAGTAAACTTGGTTCATTCAGGAGTGTTTTTGCTGTGTCTGTGCTGGAAGCTTTTGTAATTCAGACTGTGGATAGGTGCGTGCATAGTGAACCATTAGTTAGAGCACTTGGTTACGATGTTGTGCATTGTACGTTGTTTGGCATCACTAATATCTGACTTTCCAAGTATAACAAAGTTGCTTTTGATGGACCGTTTGGGTTTTCTTCTCTGTTAGGCATGCAGAACAAGAAAGATCCCCCCGGGATAGAGATTACTCTGATTACAGCCGGTCAGACCATGAGCGTTCAAGAAGAGGGTATTCTTACGATGACGGCGTGGAGTCACGGTGAGTGGTGGGGATCTTAAGAGCAGATGAGTTAACTTTTCTTTATGTGGTACTCGTTTTGCTTTGGTTTAGAGACTGGGTCTTACAAAGCCAACTTGGGTCTACCTCCTGAGCTTTGGGATTACTGTCAAGCCCAGCTTGAGTGGTGCTGGGGATCTAACCTGGGGTGTGTACATGTTAGCCAGTACTCTGCTGAGTAAGTTGCATCCCCAGTCCGAATTTTTCTTTACTTAGTATAGTAAAAACAAAGATTAAAGCAAGCAGTAGGTGCTGATTGCAGGCTTCTAGGGTCCCGGCTTCTAAGAAGGGCTTCACAAGAGTTAACTCTTAAGACAACAGATACATACAGTAGATAGTACCGGTTTATGGATGAAGAAACTCAGGCCTCAAAGCACTCAGGAATTTGAGGTTTGGAAGCATACTAGTGCCAGTGTGGTTTGCATGTTGTATTGCAGCATGGGTTTCTGGCTATCCAGTGTTCTTTCTGCAGTATGGCAGAGGAATACTGAGAATGAAATTCCTAATTTATAGGTTTATTTTTCTAAGTAAATGAATTTTATTTGAGTCTTGGGAAACTGGGCTGTTCATCTGTTCTTCCAGCCAACAAATTCTCTGGTTGATACCTGATATTCAGCATGATCAAATATTGACTCCAAAGCCCACACCACAGGTTTCGAAACTCTTGCCTGTGTTACTTCAGTACAGCTCCTTAGGTTTGGCCATTGTAGGAGTTCAGGTCTCATGTGGCCTCAGCCGTAAGTGAGGCATGCAGACTAGGTTTTACTTCAGATATAGAAGTTAATGGTTCAGAGGGTTTCCCGAACGCTTCTGTTGGGAGCATCTGCACAGTGAGAGCAAGCTAGGTCACTGTCGGGAAGTGGCTGCCTCAGCTGGTGCTTCTCTCTGCAGTCCTGCAGAGCTGGGCACTTCCTGCTCCAGCTGCTCTGTGGGCATGCCCCATGCTGATCACAGGTAGAGTCTGCAGTAGCCTTTTTGCTGACCATTGGCCCTTACATCAAAATACTTTCAGGACAGTGTATTTTCCGAAAGTTAAGGGAACAAACTGTTCTCTCAGGAACAAACCATCAAGGCTTGTCTTTTCTAAGTTCTTATGTTTGTAGAGAAAATAAAAAGGTGAGTTTTAAAGATGTTAAAGGAAAGATAAACACATATGTTTATCAGAGTAACTGAAGAGGGAAAGTGACCCTTTCCACGCCATTTTAATAACCAGGGGTTTCTGAGACTTCTAATAAAGCAGCAATTCTTTCAAGCGACAGTTTCAACTCCTAGGTTTTTATTAATTTATAAAATTTAAGTATTTTATTAATACTTAAGTTTAACATTATGAAAATAAACTTTTGTTTCTTTTTTGTACAATTGACCAAATACATCACAGGCTAATTTGTCTTAATTTTCATGCCACTTTCTCTGACTTAGAAATGTATGTTCGTCTCCAGTATAAAAATTTTGAAGTATATCGGTTGGCTTTTTAGAGTTCAGTCGGATTTAAACTCATTGTGATTCAACGGCTGCCATGCTGGGTTTTCACTGTTTCTTGACAGTGTCATTCTGGTCTCCATGCCCCTGCACAGTTTTGCAGTACCTATATTTTAGGTGAAAATGTCATCCTCTCTGCCTTTTGTTTTTCGAGACAGGGTTTCTCTGTCTCTGTATCACTGGCTGTCCTGGACTCTCTCTGTAACCCAGGCTGGCCTCAAACTCGCAGAGATCTTTCTGTCACTGCCTCTGCCTCCTGAGTGCTGGGATTAAAGGTGTGCGCCCCTGCTGCCCAGCCGTCAGCCTCTAACCAGTTTGCTTCCAGGCTGACGCTTACTGAAAGCCTTGAACCCTGGAACAAGGCATCTTTTCCTCCGGGAGGTATTGCTTCTCCATCCTGAAGCACTTTCCTCTCCTGTGGTCCCACTTATTTTGTGTTGTTCACTGTAAGAATGATTTTATGTCTTTCTACCCCCTCTACGCCATTTTTACAGAAGGGACCGAGAAAAACGCAGAGAAAGAGAAAGAGATGTGGATCGGAAAAGGTCCCGGAAATCCCCATCTCCTGGAAGAAGGAGCCCAGAACGAACTGTAACCCAGAGCTCTACTCAGGAAGAACCTGCCATGAAGAAGAAGAAGGATGAGCAGGATCCACTGCTCACCCGAACTGGGGGAGCGTATATTCCTCCCGCAAAACTCAGGATGATGCAGGAGCAAATCACAGATAAGAACAGGTACGTGCATGTACTGCGTCTCCAAAGCAGAGGCAGCCTCATTGGCAAGGAGTAGAGTACTGCAATTAGTGGTGATTTTTTTAAGAATGTACCCAGTTTACTGTGATAGAGACCACAAATTACAGCCTCTTGTCTTGTTGGCTTCAGGAGTTCTTTGGAGCATTGTATACTGCTTACTCTGATATTCGTTCATAACTTTGTGTTTGTGCGCGAGCATGTGTGCCCAGCTTTGAGTGTGGAGTGTTAATCCTCAGACACTGTCTTTTACTCATTTATTTTTTGGAAACTGGTTTTTTCAGTGGCCTGAAACTTGCCAAGTAGGTTAGACTGGCGGGCCAACAAGCCCCAGGGATACACCTGTCTCTGTATTACCATATCATCACCAGTGTGTACTGCTGTGCCAGGCATTTTCTACATGACTCAGAGATTGAACTTGGGTCCTTGTGTTTCTCTTTGTGTGTTAGTGAACTTGACAGTGATCTTTAAAATGTAATATTGGGAAGGGCTTTAGTGCAAACTTCATCATCACCTAGGCTGGGGAAGAGTTAGCAGCCTGTGCGATTGTAAGCAGTTCTAGGAATTAATTCGTGTACAGTAGAGATCTGCCCATGGTCGTAAGGTACAAGCAGAAATGGCGGGGACTTTATGGACTTTCCTTTGAGTGGGTCCTTGCTAGAGTGGAGTACAGCTCCAGAGTTAGGAAACTCATTGTGCTGGAAGTTTCCAGTTTCCTGGGAGGTTGTGCTTACACGCTAGCACTGTTTTCCTAAGTCACAGATGTGTTTCCCTAGAGGAGGTGACGTGTCCAAGTGTGCGCAGTGGGACAGTGGGACAGCGGGTCACCTCTGCCATAGGTATATGCAGTGCGCAGTGGGACAGTGGGTCACCTCTGCCATAGGTATATGCAGTGCGCAGTGGGACAGTAGGACAGTGGGTCACCTCTGCCATAGGTATATGCAGTGCGCAGTGGGACAGTGGGACACCTCTGCTATAGGTATATGCAGTGCGCAGTGGGACAGTAGGACAGCGGGTCACCTCTGCCATAGGTATATGCAGTGCGCAGTGGGACAGTGGGTCACCTCTGCCATAGGTATATGCAGTGCGCAGTGGGACAGTAGGACAGTGGGTCACCTCTGCCATAGGTATATGCAGTGCGCAGTGGGACAGTAGGACAGCGGGTCACCTCTGCCATAGGTATATGCAGTGCGCAGTGGGACAGTGGGTCACCTCTGCCATAGGTATATGCAGTGCGCAGTGGGACAGTGGGACAGCGGGTCACCTCTGCCTTAGGTATATGCAGTGCGCAGTGGGACAGTGGGACAGCGGGTCACCTCTGCCATAGGTATATGCAGTGCGCAGTGGGACAGTGGGACAGTGGGTCACCTCTGCCATAGGTATATGCAGTGCGCAGTTGCGAGCTTGACCGATAGAGAATTTTAAGCAACAACAAGACATTAGGTGCAAGTGCGCCTGTCAGTCTGCCTCTCGCCCTCTTGCTTGCTGGGCTCTAAACACTGTCAGTTACCTAAGACCCACTGAGCTCTGCTCCCACTACTCTCCACACAGGATTCCGTAGGCTCCTAGGTAGAGTTCAGGCTCTCAGGTCCCGAGTCTGGACTGGAGAACATGCATTTTATTTTTAGTAGTCTCCAACTAAATTCTAGCATTTCTTTCTATTAGAAGTGTAACTGTAGTGGGTGGTCCCAATCCTGTTTGTTACGGTTACTGTGAAACACTGAATATGGCCAGGCTGTTTGAAACTAAAATCAGTACTTGGCCTCCTACCGCTTCTCGTAATTTCATGTCTGAAGATACTTAGAGCACACCGTGTCAAGCATGTTTTTCTCATGTTTTGAGGACTGTTTCAGTATCTGTTGTAATCTTTTGTTCTCATGCATGTCAGGAAGCCTGCTGGTCTCAAGAGAAGTGTATGGGGGAAAAAGTTATGGATTTCTTCATCCAATGTTAATTTCCAAGAGAAATAATTATAAAAACCATATTCTTAGAACTTTAAAAGACCTGGGCATTATCAGGTTTAATGTAACAATCTAAGTGGGGCTTAAATGCCCCAATGTAAGTTAAAAACCGTAGCTGTCCAGCTTTCAGCAGGACAGCCGCATAGATGGGGTCTTTTGAATGCTGTGTCACTGTCTCAGCTCCAGGGTCCCTTGTGACTTTCCCTTTTTTGGTAATTTTTAGCTTAGCCTACCAGAGGATGAGCTGGGAGGCCCTGAAGAAATCAATCAATGGTCTCATTAACAAGGTCAACATCTCCAACATAAGTATTATTATCCAAGAGCTCCTTCAAGAAAACATAGTCCGAGGGAGGTAAGTGCTGGTTATTTGCCTTGAGTTTCTCATAGTAAGTTTTCAAAGAAACATCTTTGTGAACAGTAAGTCTGGTTTGTTAGGCTACTTCCTTTCAGAGGTGTTTGTGAACATTTATTCAAAATGCAGTTCTTTTACAATATAGTTATTAAATAATTTACATCATGTTGTTCAGGTTTATAGTCAGTGTTTTTTTTGAGATTTGATTTTATAGCATAGTTTTGCACAGACATTTAAATATAATTTAAATCTATAAGGCATAATAATAATTTTTTAATTTTAATTTTTTATTGATATTTATTGAGCTCTACATTTTTCTCTGCTTTTCTCCCTGCCTTTCTGCTCCCCCCTTCAACCCTCCCCCAAGGTCCCCATGGTCCCAATTTACTCAGGAGATCTTGTCTTTTTCTACTTCCCATGTAGATTAGATCAATGTAAGTCTCTCTTAGTGTCCTCATTATTGTCTAAGTTCTCTGGGATTGTGGTTTGTAGCCTGGCTTTCTTTGCTTTATGTTTAAAAACACCTATGAGTGAGTACATGTGATAATTGTCTTTCTGTGTCTGGGTTACCTCACTCAAAAATAATGTTTTCTAGCTCCATCTATTTTCCTGCAAAATTCAAGCTGTCGTTATTTTTTTCCTGCTGTGTAGTGCTCCGTTGTGTAAATGTACCACATTTTCCTTATCCATCCTTTGGTCGAGGGGCATTTAGGTTGTTTCCAGGTTTTGGCTGTGAAAGACAAAGCTGCTAAGACATAATAATTATTAAAATATGCTGTTTCAAACCACTTTGTTTCAGTTGACATACAATCTTCACGAATTTGTTACTAGCAGTGTGATGCTTTGATCTGCACATCCTGTGTCGTCACAGGTGTCAGGATGTCTTCCCTAGAGCTGAGCAGTGTCCATTGTGTGCGTGTAAATTGTCTTTGTTACTCTGTTGTGGAGAATGCTGTAGGGGTGTGGTGTGTGGCTCCGTGGCTTCATGTTTTCCCTGCCCTCTGCATTATTGCGTGTGCCAATTCACAGTGCACGCGTGTTCCCTGTTCTCGGCAGCCTTGGAAACACTTGCCTTTGGCGCTGTTCTGACGTTCATTGCACCGGGGATGAGATGGTAGATCCTATGGCTGTACTGTGTCTGGTGATAGACGGTGCTGCATGGTGTCACCTGTGCGTAGTCTGGAGAAATGTGTGTTTAGATGTGTGGCTTATTCCTGTTGGCTTCTCTGATTTCCTTGTGTATTTTGGATTTTAGCTCCTTATTAGACTTGGCTTGTAGCTCCTTCTCTTTCCATATTTGATTCTCGTGATTTCTTTCACTGTCCAGATGTCTTTTAGGATTAATGAGGTCTCAAATGACAAGTTTTCTTGGGTTACTTGTGATTTTGGAGTTATGTTTTAAATTGTATCAATCCAGACAAATATGGAGATTCCCCAAGTAGTTGTACAGATTGTTTTTCTGTTTATTAATCAGTTTTAGCTTGCTTTGTGTTGCTTAAGGTTAAGGTACACTTTTATTTTTTCACATGTTGATGGCTGGTTTTTCTACCACTACTCTTGAACAGACTACCTTTATATTGTGTGTTTTGATGCTTTTGTGAAAAACAATTAGATTTAAATATGAATTCCCTTTAGGTGCTCTGTTCTATTCTCTGTTGGCTTCCCTAGAGCTTGGTACCCGTGCCCTGCTGTTCTGATGACTGTGGCTTGTGTAGCAATAGTCAGTTGTAAAGTGGGTGATGGTGCCTCCTGCTTTGTTCTTTCTGCTGAAGATTTCTTGGCTACCTAGAATCTTTTATAATCTGTGGTAGTCTTAGGAGCTTCTTTTCCCTGTTAAAACGCCACTAGAATTTTGATGGATATTACACTGAATTTGGGTAGTTAGAAAAGCAACATAGCTTGTTCCTAAAGGAAGTGTCTGGCCTTTCACTATTGAGATTTTATTATGTCCTTTATTCCAGTTTCCATTCTAATTAAAGCAAAGTAAGAATGGAGATGACTGGGAAAGGGGAGCAGTAAATTTGGAGGAAAATGAAGGGAATCATCATTTTCTATTTGATTCAGGCAATTGTCGACTTTTTTAAAGAATAAAGATAGGGAAATAAATATCACATATCTGTCTCTTCTTTTTAAATCTGAGTGCTGTCTTGTCATTTCACATTGCCCTGATTAAATCATTGAAAACTGGAGTAAGCTAAGTAGAGCGTGTTGTTGGGGAGCAGAAGGTTGGCCGGTAGCCTGCCACTGTCCTTGAGCAGAGCTCTTTGCATCTTACCTGGAAAACAAGCAGGCACGGAGACGAGGCCTCTGCTTATGTGCTGTGTATAGTCTGGGTTCACTTCTCTTCCTCCCCAGTGCTTCAGTGGTCCAGTGATTGTCACTCTGTTGCTCAGAATATGTAAATGACCTTGTTTTCCATTTCTCTTTTCCTTACACAAGCACGACAAACAGGCTGGTTTCAAACTCAGAGATCCGCCTGCCTCTGCCTCCGGAGTGCTGGGATTAAAGGTGTGTGCCACCATGTCTGGCATAAAAGCACTTTGTTGTTGTTGTTGGTTTGTTTTTGTTTTTATAGCCCAACCAATATTTCCCTGACCTCCTCTTCTCCAACCCCCTTCCCCTACCTCTCCTCTCTTTCTCTTCAGAAAAGGTGGGCCTCCCATGGATGTCAGCCAGCTTTGGTCTATCAAGGTGCAGTGAGCCTAGGCACCTCCTTTTTTATTCAAAAGCACTTTTTTATCGGTTGCCAAGGTGAACTCTTTTTTTTTTTTCCAGCAAAAGCACTAAAGATTTAGTTGTAAACGAGCTTTTATTCATGACGGAATAGTTCTCCTTGATTGTACGTGTTTTCCTGACTCTGCTTTTCTCATGTTTTGGGCAGAGGCCTGCTGTCCAGGTCTGTTCTGCAGGCGCAGAGCGCGTCTCCAATCTTCACTCATGTCTATGCAGCTTTGGTGGCAATTATCAACTCAAAATTTCCACAGATTGGAGAATTAATCCTCAAGAGACTAATTCTTAATTTCCGGAAAGGATATCGAAGGAATGATAAGGTATGTGTGGCTTTTAGCAGACTGTCACATGAGGTCAGGCCAGTAAACCAACCTCAGTGAAAGTTAGCGTGCTGGTTTGTACACAGGAGCGCATTTACCATGTGCTTCATGAGAACTGCTCATTCTCCTACACATCCTCTGGCCACGTAGATGATGCCTGACTGTGTACTTAGCAGTTTTCATAGCTATTTCATGTGCATTACTGCTGGATAAAAATCATCCCGTGTGCTCCCTTACAGAGCATGGTAATCGACTGTAGATTTATAGACACGGGAAAATGTTATAGTTGATGGTTTAACTGTCTTTACTTTCACTTTTCAGCAACTTTGCCTGACTGCTTCTAAATTTGTGGCACATCTTATTAACCAAAATGTGGTAAGTGATTGTCTTTAAAACCTGCTGGAATTCATTCTTTTACAGCAATGTGTCTTCATACAGTTTTATTCCCACTCTACAAGGCAATGTGTAGAGGTGCTCATATGTTAAAATATGAACCGGGTAGGTAGTTTGAGCTATGAAGAGGAAATATACTAGGGCTGTACCTCAGTGGTCTTGTGCTTACCTGGCATGCATGAGGCCCTGGTTAACCTAAATGAGTAAATAAAAAGATACTTCTGTATGATTCATAATTTAGCATTGGTAATCTTTAAGATAGTTGATGATAAATGTTTATATATTCTACTAAATAGTAAATAGTAGAATTTAGTAGAATTGTGTAGTAGATTGAATTGGGGAACTGATGTAAAAAGTGTGGTCATGAAAAAGATAGCAAAGAAAGAATTGGGGCTGGAGAGCTGACTCCGTGGTTAAGAGCACTGCACTTGTTCTTCCAAGGACCTGAGTTCTGTCCCCAGCACTTACAACCATCTGTAGCTCCAATCCCAAGGGATCGATTTCCTCTTCTTAATAAATAAGTAAATAAATCAAATTAAATCTTCTTGTAGACATAAATGAGATGCTTCTTTCTGTTCAGTTAAATGAGTTAAGATGTTAAAAAGATGATCTATAAATTTTTGATATATACATGATAAAATTTATAGAAAATCTATCATGTGCATTATACTCATGATAGAATACTAATTTATGTTTAAGAGCTTGTCAGTAGCAGGTTAATAATATAAAACTATTTTGTCTCTCCCGTGTGCCTGGATTCTGTTAAGGCACACGAGGTTCTGTGCCTAGAGATGCTCACCTTGCTGCTGGAGAGACCAACAGATGACAGCGTTGAGGTAGCTATCGGCTTTCTCAAGGAATGTGGCCTCAAATTAACCCAGGTGTCACCAAGAGGCATCAATGGTAAATGCACGTCCTTGGTTCATATGGTCTTATGTATTCTTACTCTAGTGTTAGTGTTGTTTTTTTTTATTATTTTTTATTATTTATTATTTTAACTTCAGCTATCTTTGAACGCCTGCGAAACATCCTACATGAGTCTGAGATTGACAAAAGAGTTCAGTACATGATTGAAGTGATGTTTGCTGTGCGGAAGGACGGATTCAAGGACCACCCCGTTATTCTGGACGGGCTTGATTTAGTGGAAGAGGATGATCAGTTTACCCACATGCTCCCCTTGGAGGATGACTACAATCCAGAAGATGTTCTTAGTAAGCCTAGGGTGTGCAAAACAGGAGGTGGGACACCAGTGTGTGCAGGAAATTAACGCTTGACTTGTTTATTTTTTAAGATGTTTTCAAGATGGATCCTAATTTTATGGAGAATGAAGAGAAGTACAAAGCTATTAAAAAGGGTATGTAAAATTTGACAATGTAGCTTGGATCAGTAGAGGCAATCACTGATTCTCCCCAGACTGATGCTCAGCTCCAGTGAAGGCTGCTCCTTGCTTCCTCATGAATTAACTTTATTTGCAGTGCTTGCTCCTGGTGTAAATTCATTCGGAATTCTGAATGTCCCCTTCTTCCACCTGTCTTGAGAAACTCTCCTAGATTACCAGTGGCCTTTATTGGGTATTTTTTCTGCACCTCACTCAGGGCCACACAACTGAGTGCTATTTGCTATTGGAAGTGTCACAGCATATCTTCTCTTGATGGTAGATCGCTGTTCTCCTAATGACATTCACCACAGTGTCTGTGCTCATTATTCTTTGTATGTCAGTAGCGTACTGTAAGTTGGAACTTCAGACAGACTTTCAGTTGTGTTTCGTCTTTTCCATTACTAGCTAGAGAGCCTGGAACAAATTGATAGAAGAGTCAAGTTACTAGAGAAGAAATACTTTGTATTGCCATGGATAGGTATTTAGACAGAGGTAGTTGTTTTTGTGTTTTCCCAGACGTGGGTATTTTCCTTTGATAATCTTTTCCAGGTCCTACTTGTGATGGTTGATGGTTTGTTTGCTGTGGGCTGTGATATTATCTGAGAACAGCTTACTATTCTGGAAGCTGCTGCATAGTGAGTCGCTGAGTTTTGTCATCTACTTTCTGTGCTCTAGGTGTATTCAGAAAGTCTTCTGTTCTATGCAGTATGCTAAAACTACGGTACCACAAACAGGTTTCTCTTCTTTGATGCAAATTCCACACTTTCCCCTGCCAAGGTACTGGCTCCTTCCCTTTCCCCTGCCATGGTACCGGGGTACCGGCTCCTTCCCTTTCCCCTGCCACGGTACCAGGGTACTGGCTCCTTCCCTTTCCCCTGCCACGGTACCGGCTCCTTCCCTTTCCCCTGCCACAGGACTGGCTCCTTCCCTTTCCCCTGCCACAGGACTGGCTCCTTCCCTTTCCCCTGCCACAGGACCGGCTCCTTTTCCACTTAGGCTTTCATTTCTTAAGCCAGTTCCTTGTTCTTTGCTTGCGGACTTCCTTCTCTATAGTTTCCCTGAAAAGTGCCAATATTTTCCCTGAATATGTAATACAGTTTCTTTCAATTTTAAACTTGGGAATCCCACTAGGTCTAGTCATTTAGCCAGTATATGGATTATACTTTTTTATACAGCAGTTCTCAAGTTCTATGGCTTTGAGACCCCTTAGCACTCTTTAAACTTAGACTCCACAGAACTTCAGTTTATATGTGCTGTATCTGTTGATGAGTGAATATTTATGTATTAGCTCATTTAAAAATAATAAAATGGTAGATGGTAACATAAGCAACATTGTATGACATTAAATTATTTTCTCAAATAATAGGAGTTAATGAGAAGATGACGTATTTTATGTATCATGCCTACCCTAGAAGGAAGTGGGTGCTCTGTCCTGCATTCTGCCTCCTGTAGCTCACTCTGATTTCCTTTATAAAATGTAGTTAGATGAGGGAGGACTGTTGTGGTACCCTTTGCAGATGAGTGTGTTTTTCCTTCTTGATACTAGGACAGCATTTGACTGTTAGTAGTTTCTTAAAAGTTAATTTCCATTTGAAATCTTGAATGTTACCGATGAATTTTCACACTCAGTTAAATCTTAAACACCTTTGGTGTATGTATCACTTCCAATAGATCATTAAGCCTTGCCTCATTTTGCAACATGACGTCATCCAGAACATCTTGCTTTACTGTGTTGTATATGTGTATCTTCTAAATATTAGCACATGAACATCTTAAAATCGAGTTAATGCATTAGTCTTAATGTTGCCACTTGTCTCCTCAGAAGTTTGCCCCATTATTGGGAAGCTATTGAAACTCAGAGGAATAAGTACAAATTTACAACTATTAGATTTGGTCTTACAAACTTAAATTGTATCATGGTGGCAAGTACTGGTTTGTTGCTGTTTTTAAAATGAAAAGTGTTACTTTGTAGCACTTGAAAAAGCTTGCTAAACACCTAATAAAATCTGTTGATAACTTTGACCTTGTTTTTCCAAATATTTAAATTTTAAAAAAAATGTAAAAAGTTGCCACTTTATGGTCGACCCAGGCAGTTAACCCAGTCTTGTCCTTGAGGTTACCATGGCACTGTCCAGCTGTCTAATACAAATGCTACAAGTGCAACTATGGAGCTGTAATACTATTAGTGTTTTCTATCTTCATCAAGGACGGTTATTATCAAAATAGCCTTCCCCTCCTGCCAGTGTGCAGAAAGCAGCCTTGACTCCTGGTGCACTGCTTAGACTGCAGCAATCTTAACCCCTATTGCTCTTGTCTATTGTTGTAGATATCAGTACAGTGACTGGGCATATAAAACCTTAGGATCGTTAGGAAAGTAGTGTTGCCCTCATAGACCATCTGACAAGTCTCTCTCGAGTCTCCCAGGGAATCAGAGAACATTTGTTGAAACCTTTTATTCATCGAGTGAAATCCACTTGTCAGTGCTTATGGAATTTTGGGCTAATTCTAAAGAAGAGAGAAAAGAGGATGCTCTAAACTATCAGACAGTTCATTTGACCTTCATCTTCAGTAAATTGTTCCTCTGGAACTGGCATAAAAAATGACCACAGCAGGAAGTGAGCACAGCTCTAGTAATTAGCACCTGAGAGTGACCCAGGTGCACTTGTGCATGAGGTCTTACAGCATTTGGGGAAACAGCAGGAGTGCCTGGCTTCCTACTTTTGAATGCTAAATAGTTTCTTCTTTTCAGAGTCTGTGTTCTGTTGCATAACCAACTAGACACTGGATTGTTTCATCGAGTTGCATTTGCTATAAATGTTTTTAAGATTTGTTTGTCAGGTGAAGGCTAAATGACAGCTCTACAGTGTTTGGGCATCCTGTTTGTTCTTTGTGTGGCTTTCTGGTCTCTCTCCCGACCCCACCCTCTTTCTCTCTCTGTCTCTGCTTGGATTTCCCATCTGGTTATATTCTATCCTGTAATAGACCAGAACAGGTTCTTTATTAACCAATGGGAGGAGTACATAGTCATAGTGCATAAAAGGACATCTCACATCAGAAGTGTTTAGCTCTGACAGCATCTCTGGGTGAGGTACAGTTGCGATCCATGCCATTTGCACTGTTGATGTGGTGGATGGTCCTATGCGACCTTTTATGCACATTCATTCAGATCCGAAGGTACGTTGTATTTTAAGTAATAATCATGGTTTTACCAGTTTTGTTCAAGATCTTTCAGCATCTATTTTAGTTTTATGCATGAAAACCCTTTAGATTGATTGTAATACTCTATTTAACAATTATGTATTTTAAAATTTTCAATCTATTTATTTAAAGTGAATACAGTAAGTTGTGGAACTATTTCCCCTCCCATATCCTTCCATATTCATTCTTAACTCTGCATGCTTGTGTTCGGTGTATGGCCTTTTTTTCCATCATAGGCTACACTCTTTCTTAAGATAGCATTTGGATTTGACAAGCTAGCTTTGGTTTCCAGTGTTTTCCTGGCACTCCTGCCCACTCAGAAAACCATCACGTGCTTTTCCTTCCTTCTTTTCATCCCTTGTTTCCTGAGCGCATTTTATCTGACAGAGAGTGATGGCAGTGACCTTCCTAACATCAAATCGTTCTCATTGCGTTCTGGCTATAACTGTTGGCAGGTGAACAGTTAAAATTAGAATCAGCGAAATGAGACTGAACTTCTCAAGGTGAGGTACATGTACCTAGCTCATATTTTTTCCTTCTTAAACTTTGCTTTGTAGAAATTCTTGATGAAGGAGACAGTGATTCAAACACAGACCAAGAAGCTGGAAGTAGTGAAGACGAGGAGGAGGAAGAGGAGGATGAAGAAGGAGAAGAGGAGGAGGAAGGTAAAGTGTGGCTTTTCAAGTGTGCAGTAAAACACTCCCGGGTTAAGTGGGTTCTGAAGTACCATTCTAAGACAGCTCCCTCAATTCACTGAAAAGGGATTGTGAACAATGTCACTGGAGTTTAGCGGGTCAAGGCTTTTCCATGCCCTATAGGACAGAAGACTGCCCCCTACAATAGGATACCCACCCTAAAAGTTTTAAACAAGGAAATTCATTTTTACTAACAACATAATTTTAATTTGGTATTTAGGCCTTGACTTCCAAAGGTGCATTCATGTTGAGGGTGTGTAATTTATATAGCCTTGGCAAGAGTGTGACAGATGTGAATGACTTAGATGTTTGCTGTCCATTTTGGCAAAATAGGGTAGGGAGGCCACCGACTATTTTAGTACAGAAACAGGCTTGCTGTTCTTCCTCTTCAGCTCTGGTGACATCACTGTGCAGAAAAACAAGCTCAGACCTTTTTTTTGGTTGAGTATCAGTAATACAGCAGCATATATAAGCTGGCGTTATTTACATTACACATCTGGAAATAATAAAAGTATGTTTTTCTTTTTAGGGTAATGTAGGTCTTATACTGAAATTGTTCTGTAACATTTTATAAAAAATAATATTGGCTTTTTCCACTGCTGTCTTTAAGTCATCTAAGTAGCTATATATTACATTTTTCTTTTAGAATTTCTTGGTTTTATATGGAAATACTATTTAAATACAAATGATTGGGTGTAAAAAAGTTTTCTTACATCAGTGAAGAGATTTTGAAAAATATACATTTGGAGAGAGCCAACCACCCTGCCACAACCCAGTGTTCTCTTAAGATGAGTTCCAGATTGTAGAGTTCATCCGCCTAATCAACATTGTGTATAACTCTAGAAATAATATTCCATGAAGCATCAGTGTGGAGTAAAGCCTTCTATGGTATCTAAATGAGTTTGTAATACAAAGAAAAAAAGTAGATTTTTGGCATAGTTGTGGACTCTGATCCAACAAAATGGTATGACAGAAGCTTACAGTAGCTCCATTAATTTTGCAGGTACTCATTTACAAAAGGAAAACAACATTGTTGTTAGTGAATTTGATCATAGAACAAATATATTTTTATAATTGTTATGTTTAATTTATTTCAGGACAAAAAGTAACTATTCATGACAAAACAGAAATCAATCTAGTCTCATTTCGCCGTACAATATATCTTGCTATTCAGTCAAGGTAAGACTTTCTGGCTTAATTGATCATTTATTTCTGTTTTGGGTAAGAGATAGGTAGCCAGGGTTTTTACTTAGAGTCCTAACTGTGTTACCTAAATAGGTTCTGCTTTCTTTCAGTGTGCCATTTCTTGTAGTTAGATGTTAGTAATTAAACCTCAAAAATAACCAGCCCTGTATCAAAGGCTACCACTATATTTGTTAATGAGAATTTAATGTTTCTTTTTCTGATGTGGTTTTTAATTCTGATCTTAGTTGAGAGCTTACTTGCTGTGCAGATGTAGGAAGATAGAAATGGAATTGGGAATTACACTTTGGAAAGCTTTGAAGACCTGTATAGTAGTGTTAAGAAGTATCAAAATATCATGAAATTGAAACTATTTCCTTTGAAACCTGTACACTTGATTTGAGGGAACATATCCAAAAATGTTAAGTGCTTAGTCCGTCTGTTATTTTGATGTGAATCAGCTTATTGATTTACTGGGAATGTGTTTATATTCACACAGGAGGAGGGTTGTTTTCTCAGTTGGGTTGTTGCTAGGGTCTGTGTTTCCATTGACTATGGTGAGCCATAAGTAGGAGTCATCTTGTTTTCGTTGTCTGAAAACTTCAAATGGAGGAATATCTAACATTGATAAAAACTTTTTCTTTGTTTATCTTGACCTATGTTTTTATCATTCAAATGAAAAAGCTGCTAGTTTTTCCATGCAACTTAGAAGATGAGAATTTTGTAGAGTTTGAGGCCCTGCTGTCCTCTTCAGAGCTGCAGCCTTGTTCGGGACAGAAGAGATGACTTTAGTGTTGCTCTCAGCGCTGTGACTGGAGGAGTTGCGGTGCAGCAGAGTAATTGTGTAGAAAGAACCCTAAGTTCCCTTCATTTTGCTACTATCTAAATCAGAAAAGGTACCAAAAACAAAAGCATCGAGACACAAGGAAGCCACTCCTTTCTTCTTCTTTTTTCTTTGTTTGTTTGTTCTTTTGTTTTTCAAGACAGGGGTTCACTGTGTAACCCTGACTGTCCTGGAACTCATTTTGTAGCCGAGGCTGGCTTTGAACTCACAGAGATCTGCCCTTCTCAACCTCCTGATGTTGGGATTACGCCCAGCGTAGGCAGCCACTCACTCTTAGACAGTGGCTTCTCTTTATTGTGCCTGCAGACCTTGCATAATAGCATTAAAAGAATACCAGCCCATACATGGCAAGTTTTTTTCCCAATTATATATGAAAATGGTTAGTAGACCTATAAAAACCCATGCAGATGTTAGAAGAAAATCGTAAGTGCCCAATATACACATTGGAGGACTTAGGAACGAGACTCTTTGGTGATAAATGTTAGTCATTAAATATCTAGGCAAAGAAATGCTGTCATTGGTCATCAAAAGCAGAAGTAGCTTTTTAGTTTTGTTTTGTTTTGTTTTGAAGCAGTGGTACTAGATTTTATTAGATTCACAATTTTATTAGATTCACAAAACATTATTGTAGGTAAACTCTTTACAGAAAGCCTTTGGGAACATGAGTCAAGGGCTTTTCCTCCGTGGCAGCTGGCCCTTTTTCATTACTGTAATTACACAAAATTGTCCATTGCAAAACAGTGAAGGGAACAAATTGTAATCACTACATGGTCAAATGTCTGGTTTATGCCTCCCTTGAGAACTGAGTTGATCATGACTTGTTAAGAAGTAGGAAATGCTCAGATCCATTTCAGTTTGGAGAAGGTTAGTAGACCAGGCAGTAGACTGCTTGTGTGGTCTTCCTTGAAATCAGGCTAGTCAGCTCAAGAAATGACACATAGTAATCAACATCGGATTGGATTGAAGATCTGTCTGTCTGTCTCTGTGAGTGTGTGTCCAGTGTTTTCTTTCTGTTGTCTGAAGTTTTTATACCGTTCAGGTTAGAAGCGATGAAGAGACTGCCTGAGGTGGTGTGGGGGTACTTATTTACAGACCTGAGATTGAACATAGGACTCTTCTTAGGTAATCTTATGCAAACAAGTCTGTTTGACTCCTGAACTGTGTAGGGATTGGCGCTTTTATTTTTCTTATGACTAGTTTGCTAGTCTTCCCATTTTCCTGCTGCTCTGAGATTCCTGTGGCTCTAAGATTACTCTTTCATTATACAAAACCTCACAGTAAGCAGTTGGCTTTGCTGTTGAGGCGGAAGCTCCCTCCTTGTTCCTGCTTCTTGATGATGGTCAACGTTGTGGTAGCAGATGGAGATGGGCTGCCGTGTCCCTGATGATAGTGCAGTCATCTTTAAATACTACTTAAAACTGGCATCAAGTCAAGAGGACGGTAATTTAGTAATGCAATTATATAACCCTACTTCAATTATTAGTCTTTTAAAACTGGAATTATTTTTGCTCAGCCACCTAAGACACCTAAAATATTGAGCAATGTTAGCTCATGTGATATTTATAATTAGTGCCCCTTCAGAATCACCATATGCTTTAAAAGAATGCAAATATATAAATGCATAAGCTCATACAACTTTTTCTGATAAATAAAAGTAGTAAAATTTTCTTATTACTTATTTGACTTTCTTTTAATTATCAAGTTCTCCCCACTCCTGCCACGTATTTCCTTTTTTTTAACAGTTCATATGCTTAATAATACTCATTGTTATTGCTATAGTACTGAAATGTGTCCATTCTAGGCACCGTGTAGTATTGCCTGTTATCTGCTACCTGGAAGATTGCTTTTTTTATTTTAGCTTTCTTTTTTTCTTGCCTTGCACTGTGCTGGATGGTTGCCCAGGTGTGCTTATGAAACCTAATAAGTAATAGAAGCTAGAAATAACAGGTGAATTGCAAACACTTTCAGAATCACTGCATTGCATTGGTGGCTATGGGGAGGTGGGTTAAGACCATCTGAAAGGGTTTGGATATAGCAACATTATTCCTGAGTCAAGTTCTTGTTGAATTTGCTAATTATCTTGTGTTAAGGATATTATAAAATCCTCTATATAAACACTGTAAAAATGTGCTTTTGCTCCTTATAAGTTGCTTTGCACCATTTACTAATGTTATAGTTATTTCTCATAAATGGGGAAGCCCCGTGTTTGGGCAGGCTTTTGCAGCAGGTCTCACCTCGTCCTAGCTCAGCACTAGTGACTGGGGACAGACAGTGCTGAGGAGGTGTCTTAAGGTTTGCGGTGTGATAGAGGATCATTTTCTCTTCTATACTGAGGTTTGTAATGCTGGAAGCATAAGAAATTGGGCCTGTTTTAGTTAGAATGTCTTTCCTGGTTTCTCTAAATACATAATACACATTTCAAGAAGCTTTTTAAGTGCAGTACTTATTGTAGCTTTCCCATTGAGCTAGAAGCAAAAGTATTTTGTGTTTAATTCTTAACTACTGAGATGTTATCCAGGAGTCTGACTCACAGACACCTCTGAGTCTTGATTGTCTACTCTGTAAAACAAGAGAATCACATCAAATGTTGCTAAATCTTAGATGTTGAAGTTGTGTGCACTCAAGAACCAGATGTACTGATTAAGGTGTGGATGTAGGACTGGCAACTGAAAATACATTTCTTAAAAGAGTTAGTTAGTTATAGGTACTATGTGGAAACACCTGCACTCCCAGGAACTGGAAGTTGAAGGCAGAGAGTCGGGAGTTTAGGTCTTCCTCAGCTACATGCAACCTTTTCTGAAGCAAACAAAACAAAAGCCAAATACTTGGTAACATTTTAAACTTTAGTATATTCTTTATTGTTAAGCATTCTACCTGTTATTTTACCTAAAATTTTGAGTAAAATTACTAATACTTTTTTTGGACTGAATTTACTAAACAAATACTGAAGAAATGACTGACATTCAGTAGATCTTGAGCAAGAGTAGTTAGTCTTTGCCTCCCAGGATCAGGTTCTCCATCTTTAGAGTTTGCTGTCTTTTACTACTGGGACATCAGTGTAGCAGTTCATGACTTCCTCACAGGGCTTTTATCCTCCGCTGGTGTTCCCGTTTCTTTCAGAATCTCATTCTAGCCTAGGGTCCCCAAACTCAAAGTCCTTCTTGCCTCAGCCTTATGAGTACTGGGTTTATAGGAAATAGCCACCATGCCAGCTATCTTCCAGAATTTAAGGAAAAGTTGATGCTAGCGCTTGAGAATTTACGGCTGCTGTCTTCATTGAGAAGCATCCTTCCTGTGTGTGTCACTGCAGGCTGATTGGTTTGAGAGAACGATGAAGATCAAGACATAGTCATTCTCTTTATTTCTTGTATATCTTTTTAAAGTTTATACATATACTTGTAAAATTCATATGTATATTCATATGTACTATAAAATTTATCCTTTCTTATCTACAGTTTGTTGTTTTGGAATATTTGCAAAGTTGTCCAAACATTGCCAAAATATTTTTGACATTGAAGAATGAATTGTTTCCATTAGCCATCATTTTGGTCTCATAAGCTTCTCTCTATATATGGATTTGCCTGTTCATTATATTGTGTGTGGCCTTTGTGTCTGACTTCTCTGCAGCATGGTTTAAGGTTCCTTGTGTTGTTGTATGTGTGTGCTTTGGTGTTTGTAGTTAAGAGCTGCTCTCTGTGTGCTGGGATATTATGCATATTTACAGTTACGATAGTAACAGTAGTATTTGGACAGGTACAGAGCACTGTAATTTACTGCTTCAGACTTTTAACATATTGTGACCATCTTGTCTCCTAGTTTAGATTTTGAAGAATGTGCACACAAGTTGTTGAAGATGGAGTTTGCGGAGAGCCAAACAGTATGTCCATGCCTTTCTTTAAATTAGCGAACATGCATTGCTAACTAAAATGTTTAAGATGAATAGGTTTTGTGAATTGAAATAATAATACTCAAGTAGATGTAAGTTTTGTAATTTTATTCTAAACCAAAGCTTAAGGCTCTGGGTCTTTGGCGTGTGCTCTAGTAGAGCGCAGCGTCTGCGTGAATGCATCCTGGCGTGGTTTTCTCTAATCACAGTGGTTACCTGTGAACAGATTACCCCTTAGGAGGAATCTGATCCCTGTGCAGTGAAGAATCCTTCTGGTAGGAGCTGTAGCAGTCACAACATGTATGTTTACACTGCTCAGGTTGTATATGGAAGGATTTGTATTACTCTTTCATTCATTAATTCATTCATGTGGAAAGATTGATTATAGACTTGTTAGACAGGCAGAGCCTCAGGGATTTAGTTACCCACTAAGTTCCTAAGGTCTTCTGTTAGCCTCATGGGTTCATCGTCTCCTAACTGTTGCCCGTCATATTGGAGCCCCAGTGCTAAGGATAATAAACACCAAGCTGTATAAATAATTTTGTAATTTTTTCCTGGTTGTCATCATATAGTCTTTTTAGGTCTTTGGAGCCTGAGCCCAGGCTTTGGTGGAGCCCTTCCTCACACCTTGATGGACGAGTGATAGACCTCATAGATGGAGTAGTGAACATGCGTTCCAATAGGCTGTTCAGTGTCCGGTCTCTTGGTGCTGAGCTGTGTCAGGATTAGAGGATCATTTGTAGGGATTGGTACTGTGCCCCGACCCACTGCCTGTTTTCATAAGTAAAGCTTTATTGCAGTAAAATCACGCTCTCGCTCACTCACTGATCTTTTCCCCTGTTTTCATACCATAGTAGCAGAATAAATACCTTTGCCCAGTACCACACTAGCCCTAACCTGGAAAACATGTAGTATTTAGGCATTTGCAGGAAAAAAATCCTTGATTCTTTATTGAATCTATTGTAAATATGTATGTACATACTGAAAATTTTATAAAATTTGCAAAAACAAATTATTTTCAAATTAGAAAGTTGTTTTCTTTTTCCTAACAGTTGCTTTTTATAGTCTTGACCACAGTGGATATGTCATCCTTAGAAGGAAATAAGTTAGTAAATTAACCTTTAAAACTAGAATTAATGCTGAATTTTCTGGGTGACCATGTTACATTTGAGGAATATAATTAAGTCATTGCAACTTTATTGATGCTAATCCAAAGGGTTAGAACTTTCCTCAACATATTTTGATTAATATTTGAAAATATCTTAATACATCTATTTTCACGTACTAAAGACTCCTAAAATTGCTCAAATATTTAATTGACATGTTAAAATATTTAATTATCACACGCCATAGATAATAGTACTTATAATTGCACCTGGTCTGGGGGAAAAAAGTGATATGTTTTGCAGGTGGTTCTGAATCCGCAGCACCATTGGTGTATTACTGCATGTTGCTTAAAATAGGATTAACATATCATAAACTCGATGCAAAATTTTTTGAGAGTGAATTTTGCACATCAAGTTAACCTAACAGCATAATTTAGGAAGGATTCATTTTAAGTTTTCAGTACCAGGTGAAATTTTGACAAAGTGTTCTTTTGCAGAACTTAACACGTTTATAAACATTTTACTTATTTGGGTTAGCTTATGACTTGTTTTTCTTTTTCTTTGTGTCTAAAGTGCTCCCATGTTTTAAAGGGATGCTCTCTCTGGTAAGGTGCTTCATGGTAGACCATCTGTTTCTAGAGCAGCGCTGTGCAGTAGAGCTGTTCAGGGAGGAGATGAGCATGCTGCCCTGGTCAGGGGAGCAGCAGCGAGGAGATGAGCATGCGGTTTTCCTGAGTCACTGTCTCAAGAAATCACTGTCTGATCCACTAGGGTTCTTTTAGGAATTGTTAAATCATGTATGCTGAAAAAATAGATGTCAATCATTGTGAGAGAGGTTTTCTGTTAATCTAGCAGCATAATCAGGAGTTTATTTATTCCAAAACTTCTCATGGAGATGCTTTTCAAAGCAGTTAAATAGCTAATTGGGTAGTACGTTTCAGCAGTTACTGGATTGGCCCATCCATCTTTAGAGATTCCCCTGTGGGTAGGTCTACAGAGAACATTTATTTCAGGACTTAGGAAATTCGAGTCATGAATCTGTTTCTATTCATTTATTTATTTATTCATTTTTATATAATGTCTTCCTTTACCAACTGGAAGGTCCTGAAGTTGAAACTGAAGTGTCCATTCATTCTTCTGTAAACTCCTATTGTGCTTTTTCCGTACTATCTAAGCATATCCTTTAACAGTTGAGTTCATATCTAAATTGTCAGGTATTGATGTTGGTGAATGTAAATTTAAAAGAATTTCACACAGATGTCTTTAAAGACAGAATATCCAGTTATGCCTTGACCCTCTTCACTAGATTGTTAGAAATGACTCATACTCATGAATTTAGAATTTCATATTTAATGAAATTATCATAAATAACTTTAAATGTTATCAGTCAGACTAGAGGCTTTCAAAAATGGTAAGCTTGACATTGAGTTTTTTAAAATAATTTTCAAAATTTTTAGAAGTCTAGTTTGAAAACACAGTCACTGTTTGATCGTAAATTGCCACATAGCAAAGCTCCACTATGTTCTGTGCCATTAACACCGTTTTTCTTTCTGACAGAAAGAACTCTGCAACATGATACTTGATTGCTGTGCCCAGCAAAGGACCTATGAAAAATTTTTCGGCTTGTTAGCTGGGGTGAGTTACAGCCTTGCTTTTCATGTCAAGATTTAATAGAAGGATTAGAAGCTCCAAAAGAATTCCCAACAATAATATAGCGAGTTAATGATTGTGCTTCGTAGCCTGGTCTACCCTCAACCAACAACATATGTTCTTTTCTGAGAGCACAATGTTCCTCCTTCAGTACATTAAATTACTCTCATGTCTCTACAGCTTCTTGAAATTACAAAGACTTTGTAACAGTTACCAGTCCAAAACAACTAATTTCTTCAGAAACTCAAAGCAGTTACTAAAGTCAGGAACCTCCTAAGCCAACACAGGGTAAAAATTTTTGAAGGTTTATTTTTATCAGTTTTAATTATATTTGTATGTGTACATGTCAGGGTGTGTGCACATGAGCACAGGTTCCTGCAGAGGCCGGAGGTGGATCTCTGGAACTGTCGGAGCCGCCTGCCTGGCGTGACTGCTGGGAACGTAACTCGGGTCCTCTGCAGACCACACTAAGTACTCTTAACCATTGATCTAGCATCTTCCAGTCCTTAAAATATTTGTAAACTATTCATAAAGCACAGTTATGTAATACAAAATGTATGTCTGTAGGATCAACTATATGTATAATTTTATTTTAGCATATAAATCCAGATAGAAACTATAGCTGTAACTTTGTGAACATCATTTCACACAGAAAGGTTGAGTGATAGATGATTTTCGAAGGTGTTTACAGTTGTTTAGTAAATTTAGGAACAATAAGTTCAGTTGTATTGGCATTCAGTTTCCGCTGCTGTTGACTTTCAGTTTTCTTATCTCTAGCGGTTTTGCATGCTAAAAAAAGAATACATGGAATCATTTGAAAGTATATTCAAAGAACAGTACGATACCATCCATCGCTTGGAAACAAACAAATTGAGAAACGTTGCTAAGATGTTTGCTCACCTTCTATACACTGATTCACTTCCATGGAGTGTAAGTAATTGCATCAGTGTTTGCTCTTCATTCCTGATCCCCTGTTGCTCTGAAATATGCGTTTAATTATGGCATGGCCGTGCTTATCCTATCAGTAAATACGAATTAGAATGAAACACATAGTGCAGTTTTATGTTGTCTTTGAAACATGTTCATGTAGCATGGACTCAAAAGACTAAGTCAAGTAATGGACGTGGGTAAGAAATACTATTGTGGATCATACATGCACCCCCCCCCCCAACCATGCTGCTTTGTGGTAACGCCAACTAGCAATATTTTCAGGGAAAATATTATGTATTTTCATATTTTACATCTTTATACGTGTTTGTGCATACTCACATAACCAAGGAGAAACATGTGACTCCTCTCCTGGTGGCACTGGTGCCTCAGAATTACTGTCTGTATTTCCTAAGAGAGCAGCTTCTCCAAGGTTGCTCTTACTAAGACTAAGGATTGTTCTAGGAGGTGGTAAGGGGCCATTTTAGCTTAAGCTATAGGGAGGAGATCCTGTGATCGTGTTTAGAGCAAGGAAAGGCGTCCTCAGTGGGGAAATGTGCACCAGATTGAACTTTCAATCCATATTTATTATATAATTGCTCACTGCACATCCACATGATGTTTGCTACCAGCTGCATGTCCAGTCACATGGTTGCGGGCAGTCAAATATTTTATGTGGTCTCTGCTTTCAAGAATGTTACCATGGAAGAGAAAAGTGGCTGACAGTCACATGCCATAAAAAGTCATACTCCAAGTGAAGCAAAGTTCCTAGAAGAATTTTAATACAGAGAAGTCACACCCAAGAAGAGGAGGACGACATTGTAAAATACCACAGACTGGTGGTAGAATGAGCTCCGCCCATTGGGAGTGTTGAATATGTTTGTAGTACGGAAGTCCTAAGTATATCCAACTACACTCAGTGGGCACAGCAACCCAGCAGCTAATCACAACCCTTTGCTTCATTTCCGCATTCTAAAAAAGGAGTTTTAAACAGTTGGCTAAAATAGGCTCCAAAGTATAACCCATAAAAAGCTAGATTTTTTTTTTGTTTATCTCTAAAATCTGTGTCCATGGTTAGTTTATAAAGATTGTCATCTTAGTTTTCAGGATACATCACCCATCTGTTTTTGTCTTTTACCTTGTGTATATATGCCGAATAGAGCTAGCATCCTGCCCTGGCTGGCATTTATCTAGCCCGTGTGTACAGCCCGTTCTGCCGGGGGCAGGGGAGTTTGCGAGCAGTCTTTACTTTGGTGTTATGTGCTCAAGACAGGATTTCTTCTCTGCTATGAAAAGCACCTTTTTCAAGAAAAAGAACACAACCATTTCTGCACCATCTTAACATTGGGAAGTTAATACAGAGACACAGTCTTCCGTGTGACCAAGAAATAGCACGTGTCAGCATGGGAGGTCCAGAGATGCTGCTGAGGGTGGGAACTCCCAGTCATTTTGAGAGGACTTAAACTGCTCGGCTACTTGTCCTTGTCTTTTAAAACAAAAGTAGTTTTTTTGTTGTTGTTTTTTTTTTTTTTAATTCTCTCTTTTAATTTTCAGGTTCTTGAATGTATAAAGCTCAGTGAAGAAACCACTACATCGTCTAGTAGAATTTTCGTCAAAATCTTTTTTCAAGAACTGTGTGAATACATGGGTCTTCCTAAACTGAACGCGAGGTTAAAGGATGAGTAAGTTGACTGTTAACAGTTCTCTCTTCCTGTCTCTGGGACAGCCAGAGTGCAGGCTTCACTCTGGTCTCATATGCTGTGTGCTTTGTCAGGCTCTTCTACCCAGTGTCGCAGAACTGGTAGGGCTGCTGTTTTGTGCACCATACCCCTGTGACTGCAGAAACTATGACCCTCTGGTTGATCTAAGTGCTTAGTCAGTCTTCCTATAATTTACCCTTTTCTGTAAAACACTCATTGCCTATTTCCTACTCTTTCCCAGTGCTTACTGAGATGTGCATACGTACACTAAGGCCTTTAATATTTTCTGTGCATGTGTACAAAATACACTTGTGACTATATCCTGTACACAGTATGTGTGTATGCCATCTGTATATTCTGTGTGTATCCTAGTGTCTATATGAAAAATTTCTAAATCCATATTGTATAGTTACAGAAATCAAGTCTAAGGGCCAGTGAGATGTGTCAGTAGGTGAAGGACACAAAATCTGAAATGAGTTGGGTCTCTGACATGTGCGCTCACACACACAAACTATAAAGAAATATTTAACTTCAGTGAATTCTTTCTTATTACTGATTATATTTAGATAGCCTAACCTATAAATGCATAAACCACTTTCTTATACTTAACTAATTGAATATTTGGAAATCTGGTAAGTGGGTACAGGAGTTTTCATTTTTCTCTTTCTGTGTTTTTTCTTTTCTCTTTTTTTTTCAGAACTCTGCAGCCATTCTTTGAAGGACTGTTACCTCGAGACAACCCACGGAATACCCGCTTCGCCATCAACTTCTTCACCTCCATAGGTCTTGGAGGTTTAACGTAAGGATCATTTGCAGAATTTTAGCTTTAGCTGACAAAGTCGTCTTACAAGCTAATGTAACACATTATATTTCTGTTAGGGATGAACTGCGAGAGCACCTGAAAAATACACCCAAGGTCATGGCCCAGAAACCAGAAGCCGAGCAAAAGAAACCCGCCCTGACCTCGTCGTCTTCAGAGTCCTCCTCGGAGTCCGAGTCCTCTGACTCAGATTCCGACAGCAGCGAGAGCAGCTCAGACTCCTCCAGTGAAGGAGGCGGCTCCTCGTCCTCGAGCAGTCAGAGCTCCGTCTCAGGTATCAGGCTCATCTAGACTTTAGCCTGCTGTTCCTAACAAGAGCAGGGCTTGTGGTGTCCACACTGAGGGCCAGTTTCAGTTGCTGCTTACTTATTGTGGTCATCATCTTTTTTTTTTTTTTTGGATTTTTCGAGACAGGGTTTCTCCATAGCTTTTGGTTTCTGTCCTGGAACTAGCTCTTGTAGACCAGGCTGGCCTCGAACTCACAGAGATCTGCCTGCCTCTGCCTCCCGAGTGCTGGGATTAAAGGCGTGCGCCACCACCGCCCGGCCAGTGATCATCATCTTTATTAATAGAGACGATCATCTGTTATTGACACTGTGTTATTTCTGTCTTAGAAGCCTCCTCGTGGACACAGCTGGGGTTTAGTGATGCCTGAAGTACTCACATTTGCATTCTAGTTTGTAGGCGCCGTCCTGATGCTTCATTATCAGGGCACTTAGGGCTGTGTTTGTGCAGTCGTGTGTTTGCGACTGTTTAACATCATCTTGTTCATTGTGTAGCTCACCTGGGCTTTGCTGTACCGAGCTCCCCCCAGATCAAGAAGGACGGGCACTTCAGAACTCCTTTGTTGGAACTCTTTCCTGTGCATCCTGTGCCTGCCAGCCTCCCCCATCTTCAGGGCAGCAGCTGTTGTGATTTGTAATTCCATCCTTTACAACATAGCTCTTACAACATAGCTAACCTAGTCTGCTCACTACATAGCCCAGGCTGGCCTGGAGCTGCAACCCCCGCCCCCCCACCTCCCAAGTGCTCGGTGTAGAGGCCTGTGCCATAGTGCCATAGTGCCTGTTTTAACTTTATAGTTATTAACTATGAACTCTTTTATCTAATATTTCTTTCATAATTGTGTTAATAAAATTCACCCATGTTATTGCGTTTATAGTTTATCCATCCACAGTGGTTGCTGTACATACTCATACATGTCTCTGATGTCCTAGGTAGTCCCTGTCTGATCATATTGTACTCTTGGTTTCCCAACTTTACACTGATGCAAAAGCTGTATAGTCAACAGAGATAGGCTTGGAAGTTTGGATTCTCTCTCTTCCTGAGCTCCTGTGTGTAACTCTTCTGTGATTCCACCTATAGATTAATGTAAGCGTTCTGAACGTGCCAAACGGTGGCTTTTGTGATATGTCACATAACCTCATCCTGCATGTACATTCCTTTTTCAGTCCCGTAGCTACAGACGGCACCACTGCTGGAGGACGCATTTGGTTTTAGTAAATACCACCAGCTTTCTAAGTGATTATTCCAAGCTACACTCCTGACAACTGCATATTGGCCATGTTTTTAATTTTAACCATCCTGGTTAATTTGCACAAATAAGTGTTCTTCAGTATGTCAGTAAATGTTGTTAAATTATGAACTTAGATTAACATAAAAACTAACTATACTTTTTTACGCACAGCTAAAGATACAAGAAAGAAGAGACAAGGGAAGACCAGAAGTGAAGAAGTAGAGAAAGCAGCCAGGGGCCAGCAGACACGTGACAGGAGGCGAGAAGAAGGAAGGGAGGAGCAAAGGCACCAGGAAGGGAGGTCTGAGGGAGCAAGGTCTGAGAGACACAGAGCGCATGAGTCCCGAAATGCCGACTGGAGGGATCCTGTGGCAAAGCCCATGGCGGACAGAAGGCTTCCTTCCCAAGAAAATAGTTACAGTAGAGTTCGGAATGGCCGAGACCAAGACGTGCACAGAGAGCTGCAAGACAAGCATGGTGAGCCGAAGGAGAAGCGACGAGAGAGGAGAGATTCTTTTTCTGAAAATGAGAAGCAAAGACCCCGAAGTCAGGACAGTGAAAGTGTCAGGAGGAAAGATCGCTCCAAGTCAAGGGACAGGAGCAGAAGACATTCGGGCCATAAGAGTGATGATGACAGGTATCAGAACGGTGCTGAGAGACGATGGGAGAAGTCTAGCAGACACTCTGAACATTCTAGAGACTCCAAGAGAAACCAGGACCGGAGGAGAGAAAAGTCTCCGAGACAAAGATGATCCTCATGACAGCTGTACACGCCTTACTTCCCTTCCGACGTCTTTTTACACTGATGGATTTTATAGAGAACTCTGTATAAAGGACCTCTTTGTATCTGTATATTTTGAAGATGTTTTCTTTTTGACATGTTTTATAATTGATGTATCTCAAAGTCCTCTGTAAATCATAAAGGGTCTCAACAGAGGGACTTATGTTTTGTGAATAAAAGGAACAAATGCTCATTGAGTCGCTGATTTGTAAAACAGTTTTCTATGTGTCTAATAACTTTAATAATTATTAGTAGCTTTTATATATAACCGAAGACCAAAAATAAATTTCCATTTATTACAGTAGGGTATCTGACAGAGTTCAGCACTGTAGCTTTCTCTGTGGTGTTTTGGGAAGTGTGTCCTCCTCTTGAGCCTGCAGGAAAGTTGATAAGATCCTTGTGGCTAGTGCTTACCACCTTAACATTCTGTCCAGGTGAGCTGATGTATATGTTTAATTTTAATTGGATTAGTGATTCATTTAAAAAGCATAGCCATGGGGTACATGAGCTGCCTGTGAAGCAATTCCATTTTTTTTTATTTGAATTGGAAGGATTTTCTTTATTGTAACTTCAGAATGTAGAAGCATAATTACTGTGGAGAGAGAACGTTCCCTTAGGTGGGCAGGTAGGTCTGTCTGGCACCCGGTGCTCAATGGGCTTCTTGCACTTGTTCACCTTATAGTACATTGGGCCCATTCCAGCCAAAGTGTGGGTATTAAGAATAGTGGGACCACTGTGGTAATGTTGAACTTCTGGGCATACGCTGACTCAGAACGCCTTGTTTATTATCTAGAAACCTGAGCATGAGCAACGATATAGCCCATGAAAATGCATTTCTCCTTCAGAAAAGTGTTACCGACCCCGCAGTATTCCGTACAAGGGATGATGGATATCAGTAGCTACACATCATGAGAGCACCTGTCTCACAAAACCGTAGCTGAGCAAACTGAATTTGAGGAGCGGAGGTGTCCCTCTGAAAGGAATAGATGTCGTCCACTTCCTTTATCTGGACATTGCTCTTGAGTAGACAAAAACACTAGAAAACTGGGGGTGGGGGGTGAATTTTATTTTACTTCGTTTTAATTTTAATTCATGACTTTTAAATGTAATAATGAGAAGCATTCTTTTCTTTGAGTACTTTTAAAAGGCGTGCTCACGCTAGCTGGCATCCAGCATAGGTACTGCAGCTGGGCGTGCTCACGCTAGCCGGTATCCTGCACCCAGAAGAAATATAGATACTTTGCACACATTACATTTAGTTTCTCAGATGCCTCGCCTGGACCTTCTGCTCCTTCTGTGTTGTTATAGCTATGGCTGAAATCTCTTCCTGAAGCCTGCTCTGACCGCTGCCCACCCAGCTCACCTGGCTTCAGCTGCTCTCCTCGAAATGCTCCTCTCAGAGCCTCTCATCTGCTCACTTGTTGGCACCGTGTCTCTTCATTCCCTTTGTTCTGCTGCCTGGTCCTTGGAACAGATGAAGAAATGGTGGGCTAGTTTAGCTCTTCAAAGCAACCCTTTGGGGATGGGTTTTGTCTCCCAGAAGAACAGACTAAAGCCCAAGAGGCCAGTAGACTCGGAGCTTGTAGTTGTGAGTGTTGGAACCAGGTTTTATCCTAGGCCAGCTTCCTTCCTAAGCAGACTGAAGGTGGCAGAACCTTTGCGGGACTGTTGACCAACAGCTCCCTTGCCTCCCTACGTGAGCCTAGGCAAACTTCCTTTCTCTCCCTATTCTGTAGGATCTTACGGCACTTACTTCACAAAGTTCTAGCCAGGAAATAACGGCACCAAGAACGCACTCGACCCTCTCCTGTCCCCCGTCATCCAGGAAGGAATTGAAAGGAAAATGGAGCTCTTTGACTGGCTTTTTATGACCGCTGTCTTTCATCTGGCCTAAAATAGCGCTGAGCCTTCCCTTTTTCTTTTTAAATGTTAAAGTAGCCATATAGAGAGGGTGGCTCGGGGAGTTTGGGTGTGATGTGGGTGTGACAGAAGCAACTTCCCATCATTTTTCTTCTATTTCTTATATTTTAAATCCATTAAGGTTTGGGGACGTTTACATCATTTAAGCTCAAACAACTTGATTCTTCTGCCATTTCACAATGATGCCAGAAAAAAACTTTTATAATTACCAGTAAATTTTTTATAGTATTTTCTTCTAGCTTTGAGATTATAATTACCTCACTCCTTTCTTCCCTTTCCTTCTAAACCTCCCAATGGCCCTCTTTGCTGTCTTTCAAAAACATAACCTCTTTTTTCATGTTATTGTACACTTCTATACACTTATTTCTAAATATAACCTGCTCAGTCTGAATAATGTTAACTTGTACGTGTTTTCAGGGCTGACCATTTGGCATTGGATAACCAGTTGGTGTGCCCTTCTCTGAAAGACTTCCTCCCAGTCTCAGTGTTCCTGTTTGCTTGTAGTGCCTTGTGCAGGGTTGAAGTCTCGTGAGTCATTCCCATACACGTCGGTGCATCCATTGGCTGCTGAGACTTCATGGGCGTAGCCTTTGACATTGGTAGGAGGCACTGTCTCACAGCAAACTCCCTGGGTGAACTTTTGGTGCCTGACTTTAAAGTCTTATTTACATCCGCTGCTTATGCCATAGGGAGGAGAGCTGAGGGTCCAGTGTCACCCTAAGGAACATTCTCATTTCTGTGCACATTTCACTGAGACTCTCCAGACCCTAATCACACAGGACCACACTGGCCTGTGTCCCTACTCTGACCCCTTGTCTCCCTGGCCTTGGGTCTGATACAGCATTCTTCCACTCATGGCTCCCACGTTTTCCTCCTAAATGTCATTCCAAGTTTTTGGAGCTTGTTGCAGTTCCCATTAGAATGCACGTTTTTTGAAGCTAGACATGGCTGCCATTGTTTCTGTCTACTGAAAACAAAAGCAAGGCAACCATCTCAACCACCGTCCCACCTGCCACATCCTGGGTACTGACTAGCTTCGGAGAAAATTGTTATACAATAGTCTGGCACAGGTTCCCTATCTGGGGTGAACAGATATTTCTTCAAGTCTCCCCAGAAAACGTCACTCAACACATGGGAATCCCTGTAATGGCTGCACTGAGCAACTGCCTTTCTTCAACCTGAGCAAATGATTCTGGTGAATCTAGCAACCGAAGAATTCACTGACTTGAAAACCCAGGTCCCCTGTGCCTTCTAACTAGTTCTGCAGTAAGGTGTGGTCTAACCTGGGACATCCAGAATTCCTCACATTAATTTTTCAATTTGGATCTTGAAACACAGGGTCTTGTTTAAGGGTGTGCAGGGCAAAATGGAAGCTCAGTGGATGATCATTTTCTAAACCTGTGGAAAATACAAGTTTGCCATGGAAGATCTGGACCTCAAAGGGAAGCAGGCACCCTCGAAGGAGGTCCCCGTGTTGCTGGAGCCTGAAGGGAATCATATCTAAAACTAGACTCTCCAGTTACACGAGTCAGTGGATTCTGTCTCTGCAGGAGCTGCTTTTCTTGGGATTTGTACCACACGCACCGAGAGCCCCAGTTTAATGTGAACTCTCACTGGCACACAGATGGGGAGGATTTGGGTGGGAAGCAGAGCCGTCCCTTCCTTACTCTGTTTCTACCCTTCTCCCTTCCTTCTGACCACGAGTGGGCGTCGGTCTAGTGCTGGCTATGAAAACACAGCCAAGACCTCTGGGTGCCTTCCACTCCTGTATGCAAACATCCAAGTGAGTAATTCTGCACGAGGATAATGGCCTTGCTCGAAACCACTCTGCTATTTTTATAAATTACAGAGAACATCCTTCCTACAGAATTCTTCAAGAGCTTTGAAATGTACAGATGCAAGAAGTCAATTCACAAAACAAAACCTGCCTTAATACTACCAGTGAAGAGAGCTAAGTATGGATTCCAAAAGCTTTAAGGCGCAAGGTTTCAGAGCACAATGTCAACAGGTAGTGTGTGCCCCCATCTGCTATCAGATGAGCTGCTGAGGAGTAAAACTGAGCATTGCCAGTGTCTCACAGTAGCAATGTCTGAAAAATCCCACTCCTTCTTTCCTGAAACGCAAGAAAGTTGGGAAAAGGGACTGGACCACCATCCCTCACATTGGAGAACACTTTTGTCCATGTCATTGTATTTCTGTCAAATGATGGAGTCCAGTGCCCATGGAAGTTATCCATAGAGAGAAGGGGAAGAAAAGTGTGCCTGGAGCCAAAGATGCTGTGCTCCAGATAACCCTCTTCATAGCTGCCAACCTGGTGTGTGTTGCTCCCCAAGGCCAACGCAGGTATCAGCAAAGGCACAGGGACACTAGAGGGCCAGACAGGGAGTGCTGAGAAAGAGACTTTAACTCCTGTGGACCGCTCTCGGAAGTTAGAAGTTCAGTTCTATATTTTTGTGAGTTCAAGTCCAAATCTTCAACCCTGTGTAGATGTTCAGAAAGCTTGTGATGGAGAGAATACCAGAAGAAGACAGCCACTGTTTCTATTTATTGCTATGCAGAAAGCTCCAATGAGTCTTTAAGTCCGGGGTCAACTACTATTAACTGAGTTGTAGTTTTCACACGTATGTATGTTATGGTAGAGCAGGAGAAAGGATGGAGAATGCTTTGATCTAAAACCACAGATCCTAAAGTAAAGCCAATGTTTGCATTAAAGTATGACAAAGAAGTCGGGTGGTGGCGCACACCTTTATTCCCAGCACTCGGGAGGCAGAGACAGGCAGAACTCTGAGTTTGGGGCCATCCTGGTCTACGTAGCAAGTTCTAGAATGACCAGGATTATACTCAGAAACCCTGTCTCAAAAAACAAAAAACAAGCAAAAGTATGGCAAAGAAAATTGTATGCATGAGCGTGAGCCAGGGTTCACTCAAGTGATCTGGATGGCGAGGCTGGTGCCCCTCTCTTCCACTATCCGTTCTCCATTCCATCTGTATCCTTCCCAAAGCTTCAAGGGGAAGAAAGTGCATTCTTCAGGCTAGGGTGCATGCGGCACTGCACGCCCCTCTCAGAACCTCCAGAGAAGCCTCTAGAAAACTGCGGGGCAGTAACAGCCCTGAGTCAGCAACCCCACTCTCAGATACATATTAAAATGCACACACGTGGGAACCGGAAGCCATGTACAAAGAGTGTTCAGAATAACTATTCATAACAGCCAAAGTTGGGAAACAGCCCAATTTTATGTTGTATTCATGTAATGGGATATTATGCAGGAATGGA